CTCTTTCCGGTCACGCAAATGAAATACTTTCTTATCGACTCCAAGCTCCGGAAATAATCCGCAAAAAGCCGACGCGTTTCATCAACATCAAAAGGGCCACAGCGTTGAAACATCACCAGTTATGACAGCTCAACTGAATTCAATTAAACATGCTAGTTAAAGCAGATTGCTTCAGAGTGGCTTCTGAAAGAAAGAATAATATGAATTTCAACGTGGCTTGCAGTTTTGCTCGATATCTTCCTCGAAAGATTATATTCCCTTCCACCGTAAGAATTAAATTCTTCCAAGGTTGGCTGACGCTTGTGCAACGTTCATGAGACCTACTCACAGTTATTTCAGGTATTGGAACGAAATTCAACTTATCTTTCTAAAGGTGCAGTTTCCATTCAATTAACAATACATAAAATTGTAGCTTAGGAATTTCTTGTCTATCACAGTTATACCCCGATGCAAGTAATGCTCGATGTGCGTAATTACAAGCAATGAAATTCCTGTGGTCCTGACAAAATTTGCCAAAATTTGATTGGGGAAATGCGTTCGGCTGCGCAATGTGGCCGCTTGCTTTTCATATCTAAGCTACCAGTTCTGTTCTAAGTGTCTTTATGTGTGTGAAAGTATATTCTAATGTTTTTTTTGGGGTTTCTAATGTTTTGGGACTTCTTTTTTACGGGTTTCATTTTTTTAATTTTTCAAGTCGCTTATGTGGCTTTTGAAGTTATTAGTTAGGCTTTTACCTGTCGCTCCATTTAGCGTAGGACCCTGTTGAATTTTTGGTTTGATGGACGAAGACATGAGGCATGTGGTCACTTTCTTCAACGAATTGACTGCACATTATTGGATAACTTTACTTAGTTTATGTACGTATTAATCCTGCAGTTGCATACCTAATTCTGCGGAAGTCCCGCAAGTGCCAATTGAAAGATTCCGTATTAATAAATCATTTATACTCTAATTTCAATGGCTAGCAATTTATAAAGAATGACTCAATCTTAGACGCTTGATCTGAAAATCTATCCCATTTGTCAAGATTTCTTTTAATCGCATGCCAAAAGCCACATATTACACAAATATTCTTCAGATCTTCAAACATCGCAAAGCAACATCTCGGCTCTCAATTTTTTAATTTAGGTATTAAACTTTTCATTAACTGATTTTCAACATTATTTTCAATTTCCTTAATAGATTTCCATTCTGTCCATTCTTCCTAGCAATGCATAAATGGTTGTAGTGATAGTTAGAAATCCGCAAAGAATGAAAGTAATTGAAAATTATCTCTCCGCTCCTGAACGGTGTATGCTACCGAGTTATTAATATCATGAGCCTCATATTAAGTAGCTGCGAAGCTTCTCTGTTTTTTTCTTTTTATTGCATTTTATTAATTCATTATTCGCAGACACCAGCGCTGCTTCTACGCTAAGGAGAAAAAGTGTCAATATTATATAAAAATATTATCTTATAAATCGACAAAGAACTTTGTACGGTAATACAGGCACGAAGTAGACGCGTTTCTTAAGGCGTTGAAGAAAAAATGCTACTGTATAAAAAATTATATTTTAAGTAAATTTAATTCTTACTTTATCTTCGCAACCCGATAGGTACTGTACCTGAATTCGTCCAAATATAAACAAAGTAAGACGAGGCAAATTATATTGACGATCAATTACAATAGCTTAAACAGTTATAAAAGTTTCCTACAGTTTTGAAAGGAGCGTGCTTCGTTCTAACACTGTAATTTAAATTCATTCGTAAAATCACTCATGATTAAAAAGTTGGAACACATTTGGAGTCGAGTTCTCTTATCATCCAAACGACTAGCTTTTTCTGCCTTGTTGGCCTAGAAAGTCTCGTTGCTCATGTTTCAAAGCCACTTCTAAGCCCTTTAATCGCAGATGTGGATTTTATTTCGAAGTTTTTTCAAACTGCAGAGTAAATTTTATGAGCTTCGACCCTTGCGATTCTGAGTTTAAGTCATCGAGTCCAGAGCAAAGTTCTCGGGCGTGTTTTACAGCGAACAAAACTCGAGAGCATAAATTTCTGGGAGGTCTTAACTTTTGGTGCAATGCATTTTACGTCAACTGCTCTTCTGGTGCTGTTGGTGCTACTGCTGCTGCTCTTGTAGCTGATACTGCTGATGCTACCGCTGCTTTTTCTGCTGTGCTGCTCTTGTGCTGTAACACATTATGCTACTTCTGCTGCTGCTGCTTTTGATGCTGTAATACTGCTGCTCCTATTGCTGTTAATGATGCTCAAATTGATGCTATTGCTGCTGCTGTTACTACTGCTTTTGATGATGTTACTGCTGCCCTTGTTGCTGTTACTGCTTTCTTGTAACTGTTACTACCGCTGCTGTTGCTGCCCAACGCGCTCCCTGAAGTGCAACTCCATCACCCGCACAGCAGCATATGCTTGGGCCGTCATGGACTGAGCGAAACTCCTATTCGCTCAGTCCTTGGGCGATATAGCCAACATTTAAGGACCTCTGCCACTTTTTCGTACACATATTAAACGCTCGTGCCACGACAGTAAGGTTTTTTACTCTGCCGATTAACTCGTCGGCATAAAGTTGGAGGAGTCGTGGCGAAGATTGAGTGGGGCGACCCGGCCACTTCTTTACGCCGCGTGCCAAGCTCTTGGAGCCGGCGACCAACATCCCAAGTACGAACAAGAGTGACACGGCATACCTTATTCCCTTGAGACTCCTATACGCCTTTTAAAAGTATCAGTAATTTCAGATATTATAAATATCAAAAACAGCTTCGACGACAAAGATAATTTTATGAACCAAATGTCAGTGTATCTTCTTACGGAGGCCATGCATGGTCAACCGCAACTCCACGCAATTGTGAATGTGTAGCATTATGCGAACGATACCATACCCAATTATCATTCTGCTATGTTAAAGTTGCTGCATTTCTTGTCTTAATAATAATTTTATATTAATCGGCTGATGAAAATTTTTAATTCCCAAGTTACATAGAGATGTAATCCTGAAAATATTACAGATGCGGACTAGTTAATATACTGTATAATAATAGTTTATACGAGACCTCGGCAGAGCGGTTAATTCGATTAAGTAAACAGGTAGACACGATTGCCCGGGATGGATAATTTCGGAATCCATGTATCCCAAATGCCGTTATCCCGAATCCTATTAATAATTGTTATGAAATGGATGTCCGTTAAAGAGAGGTCCGTTCACGCGGCGTTTGAAGCGCAATTGCCGTTACAATTCCATTGAGATATTTAACGGAAATTTTCATGCTTCAATTTTTCGATTAAATTTTACTTAGGATAAAATTTAAAATTTGGCACACTTTTCAAGAGAAACGTTCATTCACAGAGGTATATATCTTTCTATCATTATATTTATGTCATAAAATTTAGAACAAATTTAAAATTATTAGTTTCAGATAAGCTGTTGCTTAGTTGAAATAAAAAGAAGTATTTATTTCCCACTTCCCCGCCCTTCCTCGTTTTGCAATGCCGCATATCTCCATCACTGGCAGTAAAATTTCCCACCCTTTTAACATTCCACGATAGCCATTGTGGATACGAGCTCGAATAATCCATTTATATATTAATATTTCCAGCACAAGGCTTCTAACAAACGTTCGCAAACAAACTCGCACTTTAAAAACAGTACATGAAAGCTACCATTACATTTTTTTAGTTATTTCAGTTATAATATCTTATAACTGAAGACGGACAAGCGCACTTTAGACGCATGCAATCGTTACGCTAGAACAGCCGCCCCGTCAGACGTGACGCACGTGACTCAGGCGATGACGAAGCGACGTGAAAGTAACGTTGTCGAGACGTGACCGCGCCTCCAGCGTCGTCAGCGCGCAGCTTGTATAGGACTAGAGTGTCAGTGTGCTAGATGTCTAGTTCAGGAGTGCTAGTGTGCTAGAGGTGTGCGTCTAGAGTTCCAGAGCGCTGAGAGTCTAGGTCTCTAGGACCTGAGTGTCAGTGAACTATAGGTGTGCGTCTATAGTTCCAGAGCACTGATAGTCTAGGACCTGCGTGTCAGTGAACTATAGGTGTGCGTCTATAGTTCCAGAGCACTGATAGTCTAGGACCTGAGTGTCAGTGAACTATAGGTGTGCGTCTAGAATTCCAGAGCCCTGATAGTCTGGCTATAGTCAGCGGGCTATAAGACTTGTAAAGTCAACGTGCAAGGAGTCTAGATCTTGGAAGTCATTTTGCTATTAGTCTAAACCTTGAGTGTCAGTTACCTAGTAACCAGGGTCTAGGGTCATTACGGTAAACGTCTAGGTCTAGATTCTCAGCTCGCTAGAAACCTCAGTTTCTAGTTTTAGTTTGCTAGTATTCTAGTTCAGTAGGTTTGGTTTACGAGTAGTCAAGGCCTAGAGTCGAGTCAGTTTGCTTTATGCTACGCTATATGCCAAGAATATCTATGCACCACATGATTTTCAATTCAGAATAATTAAAATGATGGATTTCAAGTATAAATTGTGAACTGAATTCAAGGAGGGAAACCAATTACCAAAACTCTCTAGCTCTAAACACCTAACCCCTGATTAAAATCAGGCATTGCAACAAAAAGCGATGGCGAAAAAGCGTGTGTGTTGCAGTTCACATGCAACGCCGCGGAAGTGGCCAGCGATGCAAGCGATCCGTTAAATTACGTGACGCCGCGAAGGTTGCGGCTAAACGTGCGCACGCTGGACCTCTGCAAAGCGCTTATTTCAGCCGCTCGCACATCAGGAATAAGTCACTTTCAGTCTCTGCGTGGCCACTGAGCCACTTCTTTGTGTTGTGTTGATAGCGGAGTTTGAATATTAATTAACGAATGACGTTTATTTAAAAGCCCTCGTTAAACGAGGGCAAGCTCAGTATGTATTTCATAAATCATAATGAGATCCTGACATTCAATGTTTTTTTTACATTGAAAACTCTTATTAAAATCTAAGGCTTGCTTGATGTTTCTCAAAGGATTTGTGAACTTTTTGCCAGGTGAATCCTGACTGAAAGCTTAACTATGTGGCAACACAAATCCGATAATCTATATTATGTTATTCAAGCCAATTGAGGTCACTTGAAATTTGAATGTGATTGAGCGTCTCAGTCGCCATCGAAATGAGTAAGTACGAGTATTTCACAGAGCATGGAACAGATTTTTAATCTTTTCAGTGAATTGGTAATCTATTGATCAGACAATAAATAAGTGAAATATTAGTGTAAACTATTTAATTATTAGCGTATATTATTATTACATTATAGTTTTTACTGCACTGCAAATAATGTTTTTGTGATGCCTTGAGAATTCGTTTCTAAGTTGCTGTGCCAAAATATATTTTAAAAACGCAATTTATTGAAAAAGATTAAGTTGCCGAAATTTATACAAATATTTTTGCAGTCTCTGAGTAGATGCGATGAAAAAAGGCATTCACTATTTGTAATTAATTTAGGGAAGAATTTAATCTCTATCACGTATCTCTCTCGTATTGTCGTGCCCTAATTTCTCATATTTTATGAAGAAATAATACGTTAAGTACGCCCTGAGAATATGTATGGCAGCTTTGTATTTATCTCGTAAATTCGCCATGGAAAGCCTTGAGTGAAGGCGTAACTCCTGTGGGCGTCCACCGCATGTAAATGTGATACCGTCTACGGCTGCACGCTGTCTCACGCGTCACCGTCTACGGCTGCACGCTGTCTCACCGTCACCGTCTACGGCTGCACGCTGTCTCACGCGTCACCGTCTACGGCTGCACGCTGTCTCACGCGTCACCGTCTACGGCTGCACGCTGTTTCACGCGACACCGCCTAAGCCCCAGGACTGAATAAGGCCTTGGGCGATCCTACGAGTCTAGCAGCAGATCCTTCAGCTCACTGCGTGTTGGTGTTTATCTCTGCAGCGCCAACATAATTCCATAATAATAAAGTATAATCTCATATTGACTGAAACAAAAAGTATTTGTTAAAAAAATTTCAGAGTTTCTAATTAATAACTGTTGTACAATTTTTAGCTAAGCGAACCTCGTTTTGCGGTGAAACCTCCAATTATCGTTTTGCCATTCGTTTATTATCGACTTACCTTATTCCTTTGAACTCACTGCATGAGTTGTAAAATTCATCATCAAATGAGATCGCGTAATTATCGAATTCTGCACTGAATTCCAAGCCTCTCCTAATGCAGCAAACGAGTAAATAATACGATTATCGAGAGGGGTCGTGTTTAAGTTGCAATAGAATATAGAGACTATCAGGACTTGTCTTGAGGTATATATATAAGCAGTCGAAACTAAGGAAAACTAAGTCGCAGTCCACTGCTCCCTGCCGCCCGCTCCAGCCTCTCCACACCACGGTTAGTGGTGAGATGTCACGGAGTAATAGTGCGGGATATAGAGCATTAAAGGGCTAGAGATAATCAAGTATTGAGTATGAACGTATGAGATTAAATCAAGCAGTATAGAACCCCCTTTGTTAGCAAGACAATTAGAGTGATCTCTAGTTAGAGGTTCGAGTTCATACAAATCTCCAAAGTTCTCGTGTTAAGAGGTGTTGGCTGGAGCACAGGAAATAAAACGCCTATTTTGTTTTCCGTACGTCGATAGCTTTGGAGCGGACGAGCCAGTCCCTGGTCCAGGAACTAGATTTAGGACCGTAACCCTGCCTGTCGGAGACCAACACTGCCCAATGTCCGTTCAGCGCCTCATGAACTGAAATGATCACTTCCTCCAATAACGTAGCTTCCAACAATTTTGGTACATCACGTCATCAACTTTAAGCCACACAAGCCCAAACATGCCTATTGAATTAGACCAACCAACTTCGGTTGACGAATGAAAGAAACCGGGAATGATAAGGTCTCCAACATAAGAAATAATTTTTCAACTAACAGCCAAAGAGTGTAGGTGCCTTCTAGCATACTCCTCACCAATGTGTGTACTCCTGTATTCATCCCCGGCACGGAATCGGCCCACGATCGAACAGCTACTCGTCGAAGGACGATTGATCTTGGAACTTTAGTATCAGACACATGTTCTCAGATGTTGTTAGCTATAAGTTGCGTGATTCGCCAATTTTACCAATGTTCGGTCCGCGGCCTGGTGATGCATGGTAGGTTTCACGCAACTCCTAAGGAGGGAAGAATATACTGGGTAAACGGGAACGAATTGGCCAATTTAAATTTTCATTTCAAACACCTCGAATTGACACTCGTGTCACAGAGTAAAATTGTAAATTTGCAGGACGTATTTTTCTTTCGCTTGAATCGAGGTCTTTCTGTACTATAAATTCGTTGATGACCTCAATATTCGTATTATTATGGTTTTCGTCATTGCCAAAGCAGAACCCATTAATTGCGAAAAAAACACGGCGTTTACCATACATGTGACTGTAGAGTCACTCGTGATATATACAACTTGTCTTCATTCCTTGTACATTTTTTAAGTAATAGGAACTTAATTTTTATTTCAGGTTCAATCGGAGCGCTGACGTCAGACAGCGAGTGTGACGAGAAGAAAAGCTCGGCGTCTTCTGTTGGAGGAGGACCTGTGAACGTGACAGCATCGTCAGGAGTCCAGCAGCAGCCAATGCAGTCCTCAACAACACTAAGCAGCGGCTTCATCAGTGAGGGCAGAGGTGGTGACATCAGCAACAGGAGCAACAGTGCTGGCAGCATCAGGAGGGATAGTGGTGGCAGCAACAGGAGGGATAGTGCTGGCAGCAACAGGAGGGACAGTTCAGGCAGCAACAGAAGGGACAGTGTGGCTAGCAACAGGCGTGACAGCGGAGGCAGTCTGAGGGCAGGGGACAGCCGTCATGGCTACTCTAGCAGCTCCCCTCAGATGTCTTCCTCACACGACCCTCACGAACACAGCAGCGTGTCGCTCCTCAGGGCCGAGCTCAAGGTAAAGTCTTTTTAGTCGTAGCTTCATTTTATTAAATAATGATAAACGGCGTTGACGTTATTCAGGTTTTTTTTATGCATGTAAAATGACTTCGATTTCAACGTGCATGCGTGTTAATTGATGTGATTTCAGATTGGTCGCAAACTCATAGCTTGTGGGACAATGTAGACTATATTCAAGAAGGATTTGTGAGCTTAGTTGTAGTTACTAACTCGCATGCTATAATAGTCTGCATGACCAAGGAGAACCAGTAACGACACATAGATTCAAAACAGGTAAGTAAATGACTCACACTTTCAGCGACTCTGCATGAAGAAGAAAATCATGGTGGATTCATTTTACACTATATAACACGTTATTGGACATGCCATATCTCCTGAAACTGAACTAAATAGAACTAACAGAAAATCACCTCGTTATGACCCTACACTTAATGATTCTGACTTGTAAACGAACGAATGAAAACTACACTGAAAACACCTTTGTGGTATATTCTTGATTTGAAACAGTTTTCAATAATGCGCCATGTTTAGACCGAGCATCTAGCTTCAATATTATTTCTCCTTACCGAATAAATTACGTACCTCACATTTTTTAACCGCCGCGATAAAGCTTCTTGACAGAGAAATTCGGAGTACCTTAGGGAAAAACTCTTTAGATTGCAGCTACTGTACTCCTAAGAGGATTACCTCAAAGAATGTCGTGACACACTAACTCAAATGAGATGCATAAGAAACTCGATAGAATACCTAGACTTGAAATCTCGATCGACCTTCTCGATAAAATACTCTGAGAACCAATCAAGGGAGGTTAACATTCAAGATTACCTCGATCAAGTAGACTTTGAAATACCATATGGTAATATATGGTATTCAGCTGAATTAGCTCATCGGAAAAGCACCTCGATATAGCATGACGCTTATCACGTCCGAAACAATGAGGCCCCGACAATGCCTATCTCTCCCTCAGATTGCGCTTCGTGGCACGTAGCGGCAAACGCAGTCTCGTTCTGATTGCGCGTCGCTCGCTGACAAGTTAATTAGCTCGCCAGTCCGAACCTCGATTCTAACGAAAAACTCAGAATTATTTGCTATTCGTGCATGCCTAGAGATTTTATGTGAATTTTTTGAACGATCTGTTCTTCTCTATGAAATTATCACTAGTTTACTAATTAGTTAGGTTTCTATTGAAATCGTGTGTTTATAAAATGAGCATTTACCAGTGATTGAATGAGAAGAGGAAGACCTCTTAATAATATCGATACATTACTAAGCAACTGTGTGAATTATTTATAGGGAAACCTAACTGCTGGAAAATACGTAAAAATGAAACTCTACGGGAGCGTATACACGTTCATTTATCTTTACATTGCTTCGACAACAAGTTAGCCACAAATTCTAAAAAAAAACTTCTTCATCGAAAATATTTTGGAGACAAAAGATAAAGACTCCATGAGCTCTCGGAAACTTTTTTGATGAAGATTTGATGAATTTACTTGTCATTTTCTTTGCTTTTAAATTTGTGTTTAAGAGGAGCGGTGGCGGAAGCAAGAATATTCGGCAATAAAGCCACCCAGCGCCCGCTGCAGTATCGGCGACAGCGTTATTAGTGAACTTGTGCTGGGGTACCAGAGGTTGAAGGTGGTGCGGGGGCAAGTCAAGTATCAGCAGCCTCAAGTAGCAGCAGCCTCAAGTATCAGCAGCCTCAAGTATCAGCAGCCTCAAGTATCAGCAGTAAGTAGCAGCGACTGTAAACTATGACTCACCGGTACAGGCGCAGGCGGCCTGCTTATCAGCGTCGTGCAGCGCAGACCCGCAGCCTGATGCGCCAGTGGTGGGTGGGGCCAGCCCGCTCCCTTGCCCTCACTGCCCTCAGTTGCGATCTTACCCTCGCCATTGCAGTGTCATGAGCTCAGCTTCCTACGCGTCGTGCTGCCTCACATGAAACTTTCGTGTTTTGTGCAGATGCTGGTGACTTTTTGAAGAAAGGAATAAGTTATAGATAGTGTTAACCTCCAGAGTGTGTGATGTAGCCATAGATCAAGTGCCGTGTTTTTTCTGTCAAGGTTTATCATTTGTAGTATTTAGACGATGAATTGTTACGTGCTTCATGAATAGTGTGTTTGTGTTAGAGGGCGTGAGCGGTCAACTGCGCTTAGGTTGCTAGACAGCGCTTCCCGAAGATAAGTTCATCTTCAATTACAAACTTCGGGATGGTGTACATTGTATCAAAATTACTACTTCCTTCTAAAATGTAAATGTTTCGCTATGCCCTAAAATATTTAGACACTTATGTGGCCTATGCGCTATGCGGTCATGTGAAACAAAATCTAAAAGTTATTTGACAACAAATTAAACGCTATACCACTGACCTTGCTCCTCATAGTGAGATCATTCACACATATAGCAGTCAAGGGAAAATTCGTTTCCTTTTAATTTTATTACTACGTGAAGTTCTGGCTTTTGTGTGCAAGCAGCGTTTTGTGATCGACAAACTGCAATGAACACTGAACTCACAATGTGTTCGCTTGTTACCTCATAACTTTTACACCATCCGGGTTACGACGAACTTTTTCTGTAACAAATTCCTGGTGAGGAGACCGAGCAGACAATGGTAGGCGGGAGTTCATCCCTCCGTAGGGGGGCGGTGTCTCCTCTCTATCCCAGGTCGTGGAGCCTGGCACGTAGGATGAGGGCTGCCCGAAGGGACACAGCCCAGCTTGTGGCCCCAGCCATTTCTGCAGTTAGGTCGCGTCTGACTCGGCCGTCCGTTACGTGGGCCCAGTGGGTTAGAGGCACCGAAACACATCCTGTCCGAAATTTGTCCCCGTCACGACCTTCGCGAGCCACCGCGGGGTCTTCGGGTGGTCGGTGGCTGAGTTCGAAAAGCCGTTCCCCGAGTCAGGATAATCAGAGACCGCCGAGGAGCTGGTCGAGGTCTCGGGCTGGAAATACAACCAAAATTCGTTCGTGGGCTCAAAGGTCAAGAACGGAACTTTCCTATTTGTCTCAACGACTTCGTCGCACGACAGTGACTCCGGCGAATGCTGAATCAAACACAGATGATCAGTTGGTAACTCGCAACACCGCTGCTGATGAAGCCAGTGTAGCACTCAACACATCATCAGCACCAGACGTCCCTAAGGAAGCAACGGCAACGAGCCCTCCTGCTGAAAACTCGGGTGCTGCTGAGGACACAACCAATGCGAACTCTGGTGGAAATCGGGTACATTAAATATTATTGATATATGAATCATAGATATTTGTTTACCTTTTAATCAGTGGCAATTGTGAAGCATTCAAATTTTCAATAACTTTTCATTCATGAGTCGTCTGAATTAACGATTTGCAATTTCCTTATCTTCTTTATTTATTACTTCTGTCATTATTGTTCTCATTGCTTCCTGTTGCTGAGTTGTAAATTTCGTGTTTGGTTGGTAAAATACCGGCGCTTATTATTAAATCCTACTCGTAAGTACTTCTAGGTTGCGTAATATTTGTCAGAAATGTTTAGAAAAATTACCGATATTTCAAACAATGTACGTACCACAATTTCGCCAGCCTTCAAACAACCTTCATTTTTCAAGCTTAACTCTGATCAATTAAAAATGTCACTGTTCAAATTCAAGTAAATTTTTCCAGCGAATTGTTGTAATAACTTGAATCGTATTAAAATTATTTTATGAGTACTGTAGCAGCAGACCGAATATTATTTCATTTCTTACTTATGAAAACAAAACAGTTCTTTACATGGGACGCGTTGACACAAAGCCCGATGAAGCACGATATTACATTATTAGGTGTTAAATTCATCAAATTTCATTAACATTGAGCATATAGTTATTTCACCATGAACATTTTTACTTACTGTTCGGCGCCTGGCGACAGGCCTATTTTCTTCAGCTCAGCCACAATTATACCATGGTTCAGCATTGTCAAATTAAGGATTTCTCACACAATCAATATGCTGAAGTATAATACTACCATGCCATAATGCGCAAAAAGTATTGGCTTCAATTAGCTATTTTTTTCACCAAATCGCCGACCTCATCGTTTGAGATATTTTCCCGATCATTATCCCATGACTTCTACCTAAAGGCTGATCATAAATTTGGTTTTCAAGTGAGGAAACAAATGAGGGGGGAGGGGGAAGAAGGCTATAACCAGATAATTTTCAAATAAAAAAATAAGTTGGAAAATCCGGTCCCAGGATTCCAGTGATTGGGACGACTACGACCCACGCATGGCCGCACTGCAGCAGCTGGGCCTCAGTAAGACCACTCTAGCGAGTCTCAGGGCCAGAGGAAATTTTGTTAACTCGCGCCAATGGCAGCCATCGGAAATTCCAGCACCAGACATTAAGAATTATCAAGCTCAGAGTATGAAAACTGATAGAACTCTGGCAAAGAAACGAATACCGTACAGGAAAAACTCTATGAGAAAACAATGTTTGAACTTGAACAATACTCCCGAATTGCGTTCCACTCAAATTGGAGATACATTTTTGCCTGCATCAAATAATACACCGCAAGAATTCTTCAAGCCACAGCCTCGCAACCTCGACGCTTACGTATTAAGGGTATGTAGTCCAATATTTCTTATATTGTCACCTTGTAACAAACCTTCCAGCCTAAGGTACGTGTTTTTTATGCTGTGTTTATTTTTAGTATATTATATATTATATTGTGGCAGGGTGGCCCAGTGGTTAAAGTTCTGAGTATCAAGATTGGCGCAGAGAGGCGCGGGTTCGATCCCAGCTCTGTGCGCCAGTTTCTGGTCAGAATCGGCGAGGAGGCCGGGCGGTTAAGCACAGCATAATTGTAGCAGTGAGTTGCGAGTTCGAGACCGCAAAATACTGTGGATGTTCTGCGATGTTAAGAATCGGCGACAGGCCTACGGCCTAGTAAACGCTCAAACATTTATATTATATATATATAACAGAGAATGATATAGGGAAACTCCTATTTTACTGAGCTCTGTCGAGATAGTGGTCATATTAACAATGAAACAGTAAGTTAGAATCTAACAGGGATTTAACATTATTTTCCATATTGTATACATCTTTTGTTTAATATTCAACGAAATTGAGGGTTTTACACACCTACTGAATTCGTTCAATATGTGCGGCGCAACTTAGGTACATGACGATTCAATTACAATCTCAAAATTTGGCGGATGCAATCAGGAAAGCAATACACAAATTTCTTAATTTGCTCATTGCAAATATACTTTACAACAATCAAACCCTCATGGTTGTTACAAATTCTAAATGTTTTCTTTTTTGGCTGAGCAGCTCGTGAGCAAGGAACGGGACAACCTGAAGAAAGATCTAAAAAAGCTAGCGCGTGACCGAGAAGATTCGGTTAGCAGCCGAGGGTCTCTCTATTCAGACCGTCCTGCCAATTTCGGTTTGTTTCACATAAATTTATGTATAAGAAGCTACAAAGTATTGTTAAATGCCAAGATGTTTAGGATTTTTAAACACATACACGACTGCGTATGGCTCAACTCTAATTTAAAAATGCCTGAGTATTGATGCAGCCCCATGATCTTATCTTAATTCCAAGTTCATATCGTGAGAGATAGTGATTCCAGCGTCTGATTAAACGTATTTTAATTTCAAAGCACAATTCCAACGAATATATAACTTATATTTAACCATTTCTAACTTTACCAAACTTCTGGTGATTTCTATTTTCAAAAGGAAATCGCAGTTTACTCCACTTTCGCCCCAAGCGAAATTGCATGCAAGTTAGAACACTCATTAGAGTACATTTATCATTTTTAGTGAAAATATTGAATAATAAAGTTTTATTTGTGAAAATTTATTCGAATAATGTATCAGTATAAGCAATGAGTCATCAAACTCAATGATCGTATATCTCTAAGTAATGCACGATCGAATGCAGTATCTAGCTAGCCTATAGTCTGGATAGTCGGGTAGAAATTGTACATTTGTCCCTAAAGTGAGCATCGTTGTTGTTGTTTCGGTCGAAGATGAGGTACAGTTGACTTGTCCTTGTGATGCATAGATTGTACATCGGGCAGAAAAAAAACTAAAATACCTACAATGTTTACTTTGACTCTCCGTAGCGCGTTGTGAGGAAAAGTAAGATAATTGATTCATTTTTTGCATCATGATTAAAGCATCTATTAATTGACAGCCTATGAATATTATAAGTCTTTAATACTAACTTTGGAACGATCTGTGTGTGTCCAATTCAAGTTGTGACGGAATTAGTTTTCATGTGTCTAAATCCATTTCTCAACTTAATCATCTATTAATTTATTTACCACTTGAAATCAGCAAATACAAGTATACTTAAAGGATTCCTAATACATTCACAGACGTATTTAAAAGTCTCAAACCATAATATTCTTCCTATACAGTTATTCAGTATTCACTAGGTATTTGCTGTGTATTTGGTAGAGCAAGGTCAACTGTCAAATTTGACACATTTTTCGATGATCTCACTGGGTAGTGGGTAGCGTGCATTGTCTCTCTTTGGATCTCAATATTTTCCCGCTAGATGGCCAAGACCTAGTGTTTTGGCAGTAGTTCGATGCGCAAATGTATGACATCACCATTTCAACCATCAACAAACGCATGGAACTAAAACAAAGCTTAATATAAACGAAAAACTAGAGAGGTGACGGAATTACCCACGATGTCGGAATATACCGCATTTACCCTAAACGCGGTATATTCCGACATCGTGGGTAATTCTGACACCTCTCTAGTTTTTCCTTAATATTAAGCTTTGTTTTAGTTATAGAGATATATATTAGCTTAAGGCCAGTTGGATATGAAACTCTGGCTTCACGGATGAGAGAATCTTGAAAAGGAAACATTGCCTCTGATGTTCTTTTTTAGTGGACAGAAATTGGTAACTCAAATTTACTTTTTGCTTTAAATCATTGTCAGGGACCTCAATTGCATTGAAAGTGATCATTTTATCTGAAGGGTATGTGGTGTTTTATAGTAAGAGTTAGGGAAAAGTTTGAAGGAACTTGGAATACATGTATTAATACCTAACAAATAATGACTTAAAAGACAAATAACTTGGGAAAAATTGTGTTACTGCTATGGGAATGAACAAATGTCACTGAGGGATCTTGAAATGTAACCCCAATAATATTTGCAGCAATGCTGCCTTGAGCCTTCTATATCAGCCTGAAAAAATCTACAGAATTTTTCAGTGTCTCCTAAGTGTCTATGTATTTAGGTATGTAGGTATTATTAATATATTTGTTATTTTTTGTCAGAATATTTTGTAAGAATCACTCTGTTTTCCATACTATAAGAATTATTCAACTTTTGCTTGACAGCATATACGTAATAAAGAAAAGTTGATCAAGATGATTTTTCAAAATATTAGGTCATTGGTTAACATACCTACCATGGAATCTAAATGCATTCATGTACTGATAATCTTGGGACAAATTTTCTACTGGGCAATTAGTCTCACAAACACAAAGTAAATATGGTATATCTTTTATATGTGTCAATAGCTGATAATAATTATGCAGCAAGAATTAATTGATACTTAACTGTTGTAGTAAGCAGCAGCAGTGGGATCAGCAGCAAGCAGCCGAGCATTGGAGGGCGAGATTATGAAATTCTCAAGCAGCACTACGAGAAAGCACTCATGGAGATCCAGTCACTCAGAAAGTAGGTTAAAGATTTTCAAAATATATATATTGGTAAAATGTTATTCCAAAAAGGGATATTACATTCCTGTAAATTGATTACAAAATATTGTCATCTTATAATTTGTTTTAATTTGCTGGTGGTAAACTCACTTCGTACTCTTGCTAAACCTCTATCAAACATTGAAGTCAACAAAGCTAATAAATTTTATTAATAAATTAAATAAATGTAATTAAATAAATTTAATTTATTTAATAAATTTTATTGTCAAAGCCCATCCAAGGTATTGATTTGTTCAAGTACTAGCTCTTCTAACTCCATCAAATTGAAAATATGTCATACATGTACATTTTCTTTGAGGTCAATAAATCTGATTGACTGGCAAGTCTGGCATGCTATTGCAGGAAGATTTAATGTGTTGTTTGGTACACTTTGGACAAGATTTATCTTCTCAAAATAGTTGTTTGTTTGTTCAATTCTATATATAATCAATACCATAGTGCAAACTATGATTTGCATTATTCAAATATTCATGAATTGCTTATGGTTTTTCAATCTCAAGACACATTTTTATATTTATTGTTAAAAAATTGGTGCAATCTCTAGGGTGTAATTGTATTTCCTAGCCTTATGATATGATATGATATTTCAGGCAAAATCAAGAGATCACTAGAAAGTATGAGAGTGCTGCCAAGGAAGCTGACTATTACAGGAAGCAGGAGAAAGCAACTTATGGTTCACTCCAGAACTTGCGCATGCAGTATGAAGAGGTCTGTGTCCTGAGCCCAATGTCCAAATTTTGTTGCTTCTCTAAAAATTTTGTTGCACTAAATTAAAAGTATTCAAACAAGGAATTTTTATTTGTAGAAGTGTTATTTCTGTTATGCTTTGCTTCTTATGAGAGTTCAAGCTACTAGCCACTGCTATGGTTTGATATGGTATTTTTTTATCATAAAACTGTGATGTGAACATGCCTTCATTAGTTCATATCTATCACTATAAACTAATTTGTTTTATACCCTTAATGTAACGATTATCTACTTTTTTCTGGTCTCAAATCAAGTAGGTAGGTACCGGTACTTATTTCTGTGAAGCACATATTTTGAATGAACTAAACTTTGTTTTTATGCTCACAAATTGCATACGGTATGTTGGATAGTAGACAGCAAGAGACCAACAGCACTTCATACTTCTTATGCATTTATACATCCCTCTACAAAAAAGAATTACCTAGTTATGGTTAGTTCTTTTGACTGCTCTATAGAAATTAGGTAGTCTAATTTCAACAGATCATTTGTATCCATGAAATCTTAAATATGTGAGCCTTAGTATCAATTTATCTACAATTTATACTAATTTCCTTACATTTCTCCTTTGTATGCTGTTTTCATACAATAAACCAATATATATTCTCCAGATTATGCAAGAGAAACAAAAGCTTGAAGATGAAGTGACATCCTTACAGACTTTGATGGAAGACGACAGGAAGGAGATAGCTGAGCTGAGAAGACAACAACAGGTAAACTATTTACTACTTCCTCTACACCAATTATGCAGGCTTTAGTGTTTACCTATGCCTTCCTGGAAACATATATGCTGGAAAAATGTTTGCTTAGAAAAACTCTATTTGGAAAATTATCAATGAATACAAAAGAAAATACAATTTTGAATATAGTATGTCATTATCAAGGATGGGTTCTAAATGAGTGACAATATATCCTCATGCTCTTGAGTCCTGTTGCAAGATGAGTGTTATGCTTTTCATCCTCGTGTGGCTGTTGTGCACTTCTGAGTCATTGTGTCATGTGGACTGATGATCCTCAGCTTGGCTTGTATGTTTTGAATGAAAATCAATTGGTTTAGCTTTCCGTGGAAAATGTTTCTACAAATATGCAGCGGTCACAGCTTTAGTACCTCCTGCTGAGAAGAATGTTATGTTGGTGGCATTGAAGCAATTTTTGATTCAAGAAAAGTGGCTAAAATTAGAAAAGTGGCTAAAGTCTTGGATTGTTAGGATTGTTAGTGCTACAGTTACTTTAAAAAATCATTTTCAGATGACTTGCATGATGGCATTTGTTGATTAAATGATACCAGTTATGGAAATAAGTGAATTTCTGTGCTTTAGAATGCCATTGCTGAAAATGTGCATGATGAAAATCAGTAAGTAAATTGTATTTGTATTAACAGTGATTAAACGGATGAGACACATTTTCAGTTTATTCTACACATAGCCTGAATTCTGTCAGTCTGTTCATTAAGCCCACATTAACACCTAGGAAATGAAGGCTGATTGCAATTGGGAACAGTAGTACATTGAATGTGGTATTTTAACAATTTTATAAGGTTATTTCCTGATTATGGCAAGGTTTCAACAAGTCTCAAGATCCTTGTTAGAGCAAGGTTTTATCAAGTACTGTGATCTGAAATCTGCTACCAGAAAACTCGATTGTTGTCTATTTGGAAGCAAAGTTCAATTAATTACAATTGTTGCTGGGTGGCTTTAATAGTTTGATGAATATTGTGTATCAATTTTGATGGCTTCTTATATACAAGTTTATCAAATGATGGGTAGCTCTCTTTGGCCTGCATGTTGTGGGCTTGCTTCTGTCTAGTGTATCCCTCCTCGTATCCTGTATGCGTGTTGTCGTGTTCCTGTTATATTCAAAGCATATCTTGTACCTCCCTAAAACAGTTCTCAGCTCTGATGGTTCTGAAGGCTATGAAATTTCCAATGTTCATTCTATGAACATCTTGGATATTGCTTATCTGTACTAGGGGAGACACAAGCTCATATTATTGTGTTGCTGTAACAGCAAATGAGACCTGATGAATATCTGCAAATAAAATTGCAATTATTTAACCCCTTTTTGCAAGTGATCCCATTTAAGTTGATAACTACCGTACCTCCTCGAACAATATTGCTAATGAGTTCTTACTCTGTTTCTTTTTAGATTAATCTTTTCAAAAAAATAACATTCCAATCTCTTTACACATACATTGGTGACAGCTTCTCATTAGTCTTCTATTTGGTGCCTTGCCCTAAGTATTCATGCATTTACTTCTTGCATAATATCTAAATATTTTCAGGTGGAATTATTAACGATGAATTTGTCATGATATTCTGCCAATTTAGTTGCATTTTATAAAACTATGGAATGGTTTTGGTCTCCCATAAATGGTTTCTATATAAACGTTGCGTGTGAGTGAAGCTGCAGCGTATCAATGAGATATCTGCAGTCTTTCAGTTTTAGATAGCAATTCTTTTTCTGTTTTATTCAAAATTTTATCTATATCAGCTCCCAACATTGACAATCTGAAAACTTCATAATCACTGCCGAAGTGGAATTTTTTTACGTGATTTCATATCCTTATGAAAATTGCCATGTTATTTTGTCCTGGTTATGACCACAATTCTTCAGTTTAACACAAAATTGATATCTCAAGTGAAATATTAGCTCCCTTATTTGAAGCTCATTGAAAATAATTTTTTTTTTTCATTTAGGGTCAGGTTTTGGTATACACCAATTAACTTCTTTCTAATAAAAATATGGGTCAATGATGACTTTATTGCTGGATACTAAGCTAAGATAGGATAGATGCACCGGTAGAAAGATGCTGTAGCTTGAATTAATATTAGATGGCAGAGCTTAATGGTAGCAATGTAGTGACTGTTCCCTGTGCTGCTGCTCTGGACCAAAGATGTAGTGCGAGGCGCTGTAGTGCGAGCTGCCTCAAGTAAGCTCATACAAGATCTCTCTCTATTTTTGAGGCCTACTTTATTATCTCAATTTCACACTTCTGTTGAAGGATTCATTCTCTTATATAAGTCTCTGTAAATAGTGGTCTGCTGTGATAGAGCTAAGAATAGCTATCTTACTATAATACTGATAAACCATATACTGTATACGGTATACCTTAAATGAACTTAAATTTTGATAGTTTCTAAAAGAATTATAAATGAAATTTTTCTTTAAATAATGAAACAGTAACATGAATCAAATGGAGCATTATAAGCAGTTGAATAACTGTATGCATGCTTGTGCACTCTTAATTATGGTGTCTTTTATTTTATGCATCTTACTTCTAAACTTAGTCTGAAATATCTGATTCAAAAATATCTATAGTTTCTTACAATGAAGCCACCAGGATTCGTTCAGTTTGCTCAGTATGATGACTTTGGGTAAAAATTCATGTCCATATTTCATAGCCCCGACTGCCAGATTGCTTGCCGCATGTAGGAAATATTTGAACAAAATTGCATTGCTAACATCCATGAGTATTTTCTTGGTCAAGGAGTTAATTAAGACAATAATTGAAAATTGAGCTGACATGATTTTTGTTAACTGCATCTTACAATGTTTCATGAAAAATTTTATACGAGATTCTATTCATAAATATTTCATAATTGTTGGATTAAGAAATAATTTTGTTGAGAACGTATTTTTAGTTTGTGTAGCTTTTTTAAGTCTTCTTGAACTATCTTTCACTTTCTGTAGCTCACACCTTTGCTGAATCTCTTTCTATTCTTAGCCTTTAACTGAAGCCAGAATGTGAAAATGGAATGCATACAATGTTGCTTGGGTTATGGCTGACCATTTACCAATGTTGCAGGATGTGATGTCAAAGATTGCTTGAATATTTTTCTTTTATTTCATGTATTATCATTTTTTTAATTTCAGTTGAAGTTCTTGTGTTTTTCTTTCATTATTTTTAGAAAAGAGCAATTTTTACCTCAAACATGTAATTTGTAGTTTCTAAGTACCGTACGGTATATGTGGTGATTTGGTGATTTCCGGGTTTGTTCAAACTATGTTGGGAATTATTAAGCTTGTTCAAAAAAGTAACCTCAATTCAATTGTGTGAATAAACACAGTATGGTATTCAAGAATTATCATTTAGGATGTTGTGCACTGAAAATTAAGGTTAACCCTTTTGATTTGTCTATATCAAGCATTATTATCAAGCATAGTTTTCTATCTCACCTCATTCATGAAGTGATTGTGGAGGTTCTTGTGCATATATGTCATGGTGCAGACTGAAGCATGCAGACTCAGATGGGTTGGTCTGATACCACTTATTGCCAGTTATTGGCTAGTTAGCTGTACGTGCGATCTTCATTGATAATCGCCTTTAGGTTATTATTGGTGTTGCTATTAATTTCTACCTCCTGAGCTTAATGGTGATGATTGGAATAAAAATTCTACATTGTTTAGCGAGTGTAAAATGTGCACATGGCGCAGAAACATTTGTTCACAAGGTTAACCAGGTTATGCTGGCTAATATTGATGGTGTTTGTTTGGATCCCTTGTTATCATAATGGAATCTTACTACCAATGTGTTACAATGTAATAATGACAACATTTGCATATCATTGATGATTTTTTTGATGCCCAGATTTGCAGATCATGCAACTCTTGACGTTTGTTTTCTCCTCTCTTCTGTGCTTAGGTCAAATTCATACGAACTTATGCGCGAAATCTTGACCTGCTCCACTTTTAGCAGCCCTCCGCGCACCGCCCCTCGTATTGCTCACTTCAATTCTACTAGTGTAAGGGTTCGCTTCTCTCCAAGCTATTCATGCACTTATTACATCGAAAAGTCTCATTCAAGTATTTTATTGACTACTTAATACAAACCTTTATTTGGCTCTGTGCTTGCCAGCTTACTTCAAATTAAATTTATTATGAGCTCTTTTAATTTTTTATTAAAATTGTTGAAATTATGACTGAAGAGAAGCTTCAAGCATTTAAAATGCTTACCACCACTCACAGAACCTCCATGTTTTCTATGATTTCCCTGAAAGTTGGAATGCAAAAAGCCAACCAATTTTAATTTTTTTACTTCTTTCATTGTTGTCAATATTTGTTGCTCAGGAATCTCTGCAAATTTTACCTCATTTTCATGCTGTAAACTATAGTTAATTTAGACTTATAATGCATTAATTTCTAAAAGGCTTGATGGCCAAACTTTGTCCAGCTTCAAAATTGTTATTGGAATTTGAAGTGTTTCATGACAGTCTCCTACATGCTCATCTATCTTCCAGATAATTTTACAATTTTTATTGACTGTTCTTTATTCAGAATGTTCATAGGTCTCACTGCCCGATTGGATCCTTTTACTTGAGTGTTCCCATCACATAATTCACAACTCGATGTTATTTAAATAATACATCCGCATCACCTATAATACCAATTTTCTAATTTTGTTAAAATAATGTAATGTAAATATAACTATTTACTGAAACATTGTTGTTTCATTGCAGTCTGTTATATTTTGTTTTTGAATCTAAATTTTCTTTATTCCAATACCTTTTCAAATAAATACTTACCCAGAAGGTTCAAACCTTATTCCTAAATTTCCCAAATAAACTTTTTAAATTCACAGAAATTTTCATGTAAATTTTATGTAATGTGACCTAAACTTTGAAATTACCAAATTCTAATACAAATTCTAATCAATTTGTGGACCTGGTCATTCATTTTTGTACTTTAATGTGATATGTTCGCTAGTACACCAGATTTCCTACCTATTTAAATGTAATTTAAGTTCACTGCCGATTATTTGAACAGAAAGTGTAATAATTTGTGAAACTCATTTTAGAGTTTGGAAATTCGCTAATAATACCAAAATTATTTCAAAATCAGCGCAATTCTTTCACAGCAAGAATGTTATTGCACTGGATCTTTCCATTCTAGTGTAGGTATATATAGTATATACTGAAGCCGCCCTTGTATGTTCATTAAATTAGAATGATGGTCCCGATTTCAATGTTTGGTGTCACTTCCCTTTAACCTGCTGTTAAAATGTTTTAAAAATATGGCAGCAAATTACATTGGTTCAAATTTCCTCTACTTTTCTGCGATCTCAACTGCATTGTTTACCATTTTTGCTGGCTCAGTAATAAGCAGGTTTCTGGACATATGGCAACTGTCTTCAGCTCCTATTTAGTCTTTCTTCAAAGTGCACCTGGAAAAAAATCTTGTCAAATGTGTTTTCTTGTTATGATTTAAAGTCTAAAACTATGGACTATCTGCGGCACCAATTCTCAGCCTCGTTTTTTTGTCACAGGGTTTGTTGTGTTTGCTCAAAAAGTTGGTGTATTCAGTGTCTCATTGACATCATTGAGGAGGATGATGTTTTGTGATTGAACCCTTTGGTTCGAAATTCATTTATCGAGGTTTCAAACCTTTCCTTTGACTAATTAATGGTTAGGTATCACACGTGCAGCTTGCACAGTCAGTTGTATCTGCTTGCACTAGATCTAGTAATTGATACGTGGCTGCTGAGCTGTACATTTCTCGAGCTGCAGTTCATTCACCACTGTCTGAGTTTGAATTGTTGAATTACTTTAACTTACTTGAATACTTAATGCTTACTTGAATTATTTTAATTGTTATCTTCTCATTTCTAGTATCTATGTATTAATTATTTTAATTGATTTATAAAACCTCCATTTTTTCAGTTTATATTATACTATATTTTTACTTTTTTACTATTATTGAATTTGTTCTTAATTTGTAAATTTTTTACTGTTTTGTACATGTTTTCTTCGATTGCCTATTTCATTATAACTTTTCTTGTGTTTTTGATATGTGTGAGCCTGATGAAGTATAGTTGGGATGGACATGTTCCTGGTGGTTTCTTGTGAGATCTTTGCTTAGGTTTCCCTGTACTTTACTCAAGGAAGAGTTCTTCATCACGTTATTGGACACTTGATCTTGCAATGCTTTCCGTTTGTAAATTTTTATTCCCTTGACATCTTGATGTTTAATCAGATTTGTACGGGGAAACTCTCTGTTTTTACTAAAATCACGGCTCTCTAGTAATGATATGGAAATAAAAAATTATTAGTTTTTATAATGGATCTTCCCTTATGTGATCTGTGATCTTTCATTTTGCTTGTTTATATGATTACATTTTACATTTTACATGATTGATTTCTTTGTTGGATCTGACCACCCCTTTGCACGCCCTGTACCCTCAATACTTGATGCATGGTTTTGCCTTCTCATGTGATGCATTGTCTGATGTGGTGCTGGTCACCTCAACAATGCTGCATGCTCCCTTGACTCAATCTAATATCACACTTCAGATGATTATCTTTTATGAACATTTAGGCATGATTGGCGTCTATTTTGCACAAATGTTTAGCCTTCCATTGCATAAAATTATGTTTGGTTGGCTTTAATTAGTCATGAAATAAATAATTAGTATTAAGTGAAGAAATAATGCTCATGAAATTTTTGCAATATTTTTGCTCAAATTAAGAAGTATAATATCTTGACTTATTTGTTACTGAATTTTTTCTTTTTATCATGGCTGATCACAGGAAAACTTTCTAGTAAGTATTTGTCAACTTGATGCTTTCTCACTGTTTTGTGCAAACTTACTGCGTATCATAGCACTTGCTGGTTTTTGCCCATAACAAGTGTATGAGGTGCAGTCTTCTGAAGTGTGGTCTTGGGTTGCATCCATCTCAGTTATTATGTTATGTTCCATCTTTCACAGATTACATAGTGTTTCTTACCTGTGCATATTAAGTTATTTGTCTGATTATAACTTATGTTGAAGGCTTTACCCATTAGAGTGTTGTCAGAATTGTGTGTAAATCTACAACGAAATTTTAATTTAATAACATCATTAGTAAAATATCTCATTTTTTAATACACTCAATCTACAAAATTGCTAGTACCAGATATTGACCATTTCTGCATTAAATACAATAAATACAGATGAATATATTTCATCAACTAAATAATATTAATTAATTACTTATTTCTCATGAACATTATTATGTGTAAACTGGAGCTGTGGTTGGTTTTCTCTCATTTGTATTTTTTTTAAATGGTATACATATTCTCTTACCAACCTGTTCTGTGTGTCATTGTTTTATGTGGAAATTTTTTTTCATTTGTGTGCTTCAACGTCTATTAGGTTTGTAGTTCGTTTTGATAATTACCACGTTTTTTTTAATAATTCTGTTATCCTCTTTGCTTTGTTATTTAGGCTCTCTTTCTTGTACAGTTATTGAGTTCTACCGTATTCCTTCAACATCTCGATGCTGGAAGTGCCTTGACTGCAGAAAATAGCAATTACTCTCTACTAAGAACTAGGAACAACAACAATGCATTTTGTTGTTCACTTTCTATGCTTGTTATTCCCATTTCTAACCTGAACATTTTGATGCAGAAAATCAAACATGTCTTTATCTGCATGACAGATGAGGGAGCATCCCAACTGAACTATGATGCTGGAAGCATAACTCAACTGGTTTTATTATTGTACTTGATCATTACTTGTCAATTTCGTGTTGTAATAGAGAATTGTTATTGTGTGCAGGAGGCCATGTCACAAGAGGGTTCAGGGGAAGCCATTAATCAGCTCTACATGAGCACTGCACAAAAGTATGAAGATGTTAAAGAAGAATATGACTCACTACGCAAACGATACTCTGAATTAGCTGCTTCACACTCTACACTCACCACCAAATATGAACAAGCACAGGTGATTCTGCAATGATTATGATGAAAAGATGATGAAAACAGATAATTTTATCCAAACTTTTCTGCAATGATTATGATGAAAAGATGATGAAAACAGATAATTTTATCCAAACTTTGTGTTTTTTAATTAATGTCATCAGTAATATTGTGAATAAATTTTGTATCTCATCAACAATATGTATGCAAATCATTTACAAAATAAATGAATGCACTAAACTACAAAACTAGAACTGCAAATGAACTAAAACTGTTATTTAAATTCTCAAACAGATTTTTTTGAGAAAGAATGCATTTCCTATTTCTGCTTTCTGAGTCATTGGTCACTTTGATCATTTACACTCATTAATCATGTCTGTTTATGCTCCTCACTTCATTATGTTTATATGTAATTGTTCAATGTGCAGGAGGAGGCCATCAGGATTAAGAAGCTCAGCGATGAAATTCTTAGGGAAAAGAACTGCCTTAAGCAGCAGTGCACGGAGGCCATCAGGCAGTGGGACACGGCGCTCAGGGAGAAGAACAAACTCGAGGATGAAGGCCGCAAGGTACATTTTTTATTTGTACATTTCATGAAATTATACAGTGAATTTCAATCTTTTTAATTATCTGTTCATAATTATTGTATTATTATTGCCAGCCGATTATGTAAGATATCGATTGAATTTTGCTGCATCATATGTTAATGATGGGGCATTTGTTGAGTTCTGAGATGATACGTTTTGCAATAGAAATAAATATTGCATGGAGTACTTGATTTCACGACTATTTTTTGGAGCAGTTGTGGACTAACTTTCCATTATCTGCATGACTAACAACTTTCTCTTACTATAAGAAAATTTATTTCTTTTCTTGTTGCGTAGGTATGTACATTATTCAATTGACTTGTGAAGTAATAGATTTAGTAGTTTATCATGAGTAAAATTCCTCAAAGTCTCTCCTAGAATACTCTTTTTGAAGGAAGGTTTCGTCATTCGTGTATTTATCAGCGTTTCTAAATTTCTTAAATATTTTTTTTGGCTCGTTTTCTTCAGAAAAACTAAGAAATAGTAACAGACGGTATATTCTGCTTGCCAGCTCATGATATATTTGAAGGCATGACCTACGCTTGACAGTGTTGCAAAAAAAAATGTTCTTTTGAATGCCCAACCCACCAGGGTTTTATTAAGAAATTCAGGGTTTTTTAAATTGCCCAACCCACCCAGGTTTTATTAGAAAACCCCGGGCTAAATGGGTAAAATTGTTTTGTTACTATTTCCACTTATACCCTTTAATACCTAGCTTTAAACAAATAATTTGACTTAGCGTTTCTAAATTCGTACCAAACCTTGAGGCTTCTAATACGGTATTGTACATGCTCAAAAATTTACTGGATTTTATTGCTGGTTCTTTATAACTCGGAAGTTAGAATATGCAGAACTGGAAAGCTAGATTATGCAGCACTAGTAATTAAAAATTCTTAATTAAAAAAAATTATACTTGTTTTAAAGACTTTTGAGTTGAATATCATAAAAACATATGGTAAACATGAATTTATAGTCTCAAAAAGTATGGTGTAAATAAATATCATCGTAAAAATATATAATTGTTTTTTCTTTTGGGCTAATGTAGGTTTTTTTTTTTTTTGCTATTCCACATTGAGAAAAAGAGTTAATAATTTGAATTAACTCCTAAATTTAAATTTATATTAAACCTACAGTTTGGGTAGTGCTAACATAGTTACACAAGACATCTGTTGAATATTTTTCTCCAGCGATGTTGTGACAAAATTGCTAAAAAAGCAACAAAGAATTAAGACAAAATTTCAAAAATCACAAAATCGACTTTGATATGAAGATATCTACTAGCGGTTCCTTATTTAATTTCATGATATTGTTATATGTTCTAAATAACTTTTAGAGACCCAAGTAATATTTTAGAAACTTTATAATTCATGGGTACTTTTTAGGACTCTGATGTGGGTTATTTACGAGGCTTGCACTATATTTATATAGGATGACTGTTTATCTTCAAGAATGATTAATAGATATTACCTTGGTAGCTTCCATCCTGTATTATTGCAATCTAAAATTCAAAACAATAAAATAATTTTGATGTATTCTTCAGTTTTCTTTGAAATCCGCTTTTTACTCCACAGTTTTTTTTTCAAACCTTGGTTTTTGCACTGGTTTGCCTGGATCCAGTGGATAGGTGGGCTGGAAAGTAGGTGGAAGTAGGGCCACCCAGGCTGGAAAAACCCAGCCCGCTTGGGCAAGTTGGCAGCTCTCCAGACAAGTACCTAGTGCAGCCCTGACTTATGATCACAATAATTAATTATCTGACGCTTATAATTGTTGCAGGCTCGCGAGAAGTGCGAGGAGCTCATGAAGGAGATGAACGGACATCTGCTGCACCGCCAGCACCTCGGCAAAGACGTCAAGAAGCTGCAGGAGGAACGCAACTCCGTCATGCACGAGTACACGCTCGTCATGGGCGAGCGTGATCAGGTCATTTATTTATTCCATCCTATATCATGAGTTGTAAATTCTTTATTAACTCTTCAAAACGTTATTATAACTATTTACTCACCGCAGTACGGTTTATTTTAGCTTGAGTACACTCTTGACGATCGAGCGTGGACAAAGTCATTCATTTATTCCATCCTATATCATGAGGTGTAAATTGTTAATTAACATTTGAGATTGTGTGACATCGATTTGCCCTTTAGAGTACAGTTTAATTCAAGTCATTATTTAATTTTGTGCATTTTTCAATCATTTTATGGACTACATTTTATCAGTAACTGCTCAATTGCACTAATTGTACATGAAATATTACAATACTCAAAGTGCATTTTGGTAAATGAAGCTTTTTACCTAACCATTACCTTAGTATTAAAACGTTTGGTACTTGTATTGTGGACAGACATTCATTTGATTTTTTCGCTTGTCTAGTTCATTGACGTTTAATATAAGTGCAGCATGAAGTAATCACGCCTTTTTGCTCCGAGAGCCTTACAAAATAACTTTCTGTTCAGAAATTTTCCACGCTTATTCTCATAATTCTTCAGGGATAATCCTCGCAAGGATTGGTAACATGTGGAATTGTTAAACTAGGGAAATGAACTTTGATATGAAGATGATATCTAGCGCTGAAACTTGAACCTAACGTCACCGTGCATATTGCAGGTGCATAAAGAAATGGACAAGCTGCAGGAGGAGTTGAACCAAGCCAACGCCGTCATCAAGACCCAGCAGCAGACGCTCAAGGACCGTGACAAAGAGGTGCCCCTTATTTTAGTTTAGTTTATCTCTGCCATAGTGTGCATGAAAATTTAAAGTTTGAGGGCTATTTTGTACTTGTAGAGTTGCTAGGTGTGAATTGAATTAAACTTGGACAAAATTTGTAGGTAATTTATTTTTATCTGGATGTTGTTACTATATTTGATTACTCTTGAATCCATAAAATTCGTCCTGACAATGAATGTTGTGTAAACAAATTTGTTTTAGTTACAGCTGCTGTCAAACAAGTTTCGTTTGTTTTCTGATAGTTGAATTTTTTTATTTCTGTGTTTATATGTACGTAGCTCAAAATTAGTTATTTATTTTCAAATCTCTACTTGAACAAGAAAATGTTCATCTTTTCGTTAACTCAAGTACCTAGCATACAGTAACAATGCAGTCAGCGACCGTGATACGATCTATTGGAAATTATTTATTGATTGAGACCGCTTCCATTATTTAGGATGTGGCTCAAATAAATGGCTTATAAGATTAAAAGATGAAACGGGATCATCTACTCTGTTTGTTTGCTATTTAATTTTGACCGTTGATTGCTTTATGTTGACAGAAAGAATCGCTGCTGCTACAGCTGGAGACGCTGAGGCGAGAGATCAGCTCCTCGCTGCAGGACCGCGACTCTGCACTCAAGGAGCTGGCCGAGCTCAGGGAACGCACAGGAGCGCAGGATGCAGACTCTGACAAACACTGGGACATCGCTTATAAGGACTACAACCCCTACGCCCAGCAGAGGTGCTATATTAAATGCCATCAATGAATAATTAGGAATCTACAATAGTACCTATAATGCCAATGGTGAATTTCGTTTATTAACTTTGACGAAAAAAAATTTTGGTTATGAACTTTGAGAATCTCAATCAAAAGTTAACAACACAATCAGAGTGTCGTTGTAAAAAGTTTCATTGGGAAAATAAGCAACATTCAATTTTGTAGAAAAACGCTGTCTAGGTATGAATGAATATTTGGTTACAGCCAATGAGTTTTAGAGCTCTATATATCAATTATCACTCAAATAATATAAACTATCTCCATTGCCACTGGCATGGCCAAGTGGCTCATCTAAATGAACGTAATTCTTTCTTCAGAGCACAAATTCCTGAAGTCTCATCGCTTGGTCAAGCAGGCGGCAGCAGCGGCCACAGCGGCCGCGGCAAGGAGCAGCGACTGGACGACCTCGATCAGGCGAACCAAGAGATAGAACGACTCAGGAAGACGGTTGAAAAACTTCAGGGCGAATTGCAAGGTTAGTTTTATATCTTGGTCTTATTTCTTAGGTATGTGTGATACGTTCAAGATATATAAGTGGACACATGATAGTCCTGGTTGTGGATTATCCTCCTCTATGATACAAATTTATTCAACCGATGTATCTTAAAACCGCTTCAAAATCATACATTCGCCACCTTGTATCAGATAATTTTACAATCTTGATATTGTTTATAATAAAAATTATTCCTCAATGCACGCAAAGACGCCATTCGGAACTTCCCACACAAGCTTGACATGATAGCCGAAGAGATGTGACTTAACTTCTTATCTTTTTGTCTGTCTTCTCTCCTGACTACTCACTACACTGCTTCTCCCCAGCTTCCGTTGCTTGTCATGACTGTCGCCTCGCTGACATAACCTTACCTATTCCTTGTTCGTCAAGTGTTGCGCGTGCAAACATTCTCCTCAAATTGCTTAACCTCTCAATTTTTTTTCATTTAGCGTGAAATGGTACAACTAGAGAACATCTGACACATACGTACATAAACGTCGGACGTATTAGAACGTCTGAATAATGCGTGCATTAAATTTCTGCCTCCATGTTTGTATTTCTACGGTTCCAACAGTTTTTTCTATTCATTTGTTTCATAAACTTACGTCTTTAATGCCTAGCTGAACATTGATTAATACCGTAGCTCTCATTAAATATTAATTGATTCTGATGGAAGTCTGCCACCGCGCTGTGTTCTGTGGTGCTGTATGGTGTGCATGTATTGTAAGTGGCATTGATCTTGTTATAATTCCGCTGGTGTTACTGTTGTTGTTGTTGTTGCCTGTGTAACATAATGTGTATAATAAACCCGCCAACCCGAGTCTTTCACCGTTTGTCGTAGCTGTTATGCCTAGTCTTAGTCTAGCTACCTCAAGCACTTCTTCCCTATGAGAGATTCCCGAAATGAAATGGCCTCATTGTTGAAGTTTTGCATACAGTTATTGTGCTAAGAAAGATTTATGCCCAATGGCAAATTGGTTCTGCTTGTTGATTTCATATTCAATATTTATGCTCCTCTGATTCTGTCCTAAGTAAATTGTTATGCTTACAGTCTCATAAGCTCATCAAATTAGGAGCATTGGTAAGGATTTTCGTTTAGTATCTGCTAAGTTTAAAAATTGTCTTGAATCATAAATATTTGTGATGACTGAGATTTAAATTTCATCAACTACTTACTATTTGATGGTCCAATAAATGAGTTATGTCGAAACAAATAGAATTAGATGGGGGAGAGAATTTTGTGAAATAAGGTTATTGAGTGTGAGTTTTGGAACTGGTTTCATTGATGGACTCGCTTCAAGGAGCACATGATCGCCGGCAATGTGTCTGCTCTCTTGCATTCTGTCTTGTACGTAATCGCAAGACAACAAATACAGTGGAACCCCGCCTTGCGAACTTACTCTGCTACAACCGATCCGCCTTACAAACTGTCACACCCGAAAAATTACCATGCTTTACTGTACGACCCTGGCCCTGCTAAAAAGCAGTGCATCGGCATAAAAAGTATTGATGTCTATTGATGATAAATTAGACATCACCAGGAAACATGCAGCCTTCATCCAGGTTTTCGACTCGGCCGAGGATTACTGACTAAATAAAAGTATGATATCCACTATATTGGGTTAGAAAGAAAAATTATAAGGCACCTCAACATAAAAATCATCATTTTTTTATCCTATTGGAAATACAATAGGTATGTATGTAAAACAGGTTACTCGTGCAGAGGCCCATCACAGATCGGAGTCTTTTCCATTAATTTTAATGGGAAAAATATGTTTGCTTTACGAACCCAGTTCCTGCACAAATTAAGTTCGTAAGGCAAGGTTTCACTGTATAGATGTGAATAAATAAGACTTCTTAAGACGTGTCTAACCGAAATGGAAGCACAGTATTAAATTGAACTGCAAGACTGGATGCAGGTCAGCAACACAAAAGTCGGAATCATGCAAGAGTTAACTGATGAAATGTTAGCACGAACGAAATGCTTTAAATCCATGTGCCCGTTACCTCGTAGCTTAGATGGCATGGCTCCTCAATGGATGTATAATTCCTTCTTCCGACTGCATCCTTACTTTCCAACCTATTTGTAATACCGCCTCCATTTGCGTTTCGAACTTTACTGTTCAAAATTTTGTTTTTAAGAGCTGTTGTCCAGTTCGCTGAACGCTTTCTTTGTCTCCATCTCCTCTACTTCGCATTTCTCTACTAACTAAACAAACTAACCTCTGCAACAACTTCTGATTTCCACACGATTATTTTCTTCTATCTTCCCAATGATATCTTCCACGCTCTCTACTTTGAACTGAAACATGTGTGAGTATTGCAAGAAACTGATGGTGTTTTTAACTGTACTGAACATCTCTACTCTGATGTGTTATGGATTAATATGTCCCAAAAGATATAGGATTTTATGCAAACATTCTAATATAGTCATTTAATGAGACGCTCGGTGAAATATCATTAATTAATAAATACATTAGACACGTGTACTTTAGTCTGTCATTTTCTATATACATAAGAACAATTTACTCAGTACTAATTTGTCACTCACTAACAGAAAGTCAACGCGAGGCGGAAGTGTCTCAGAGGAGACGCGACTGGGCGTTCAGTGAGCGCGACAAAATCGTGCGCGAGCGCGAGAGCATCCGCGCGCACAGCGACAAACTGCGCCGTGAGAAGGACCGCGCAGTCGCCAAACTTGCGGAGGCCATGAGGGACTCTGACGACATGATGAAACAACGCGACGAGCTTCTCAAGCAGCTCAAACTTGCCAAGTGAGCTTAGTTTTTGTGTGGGAAAAAATAAAGTTTAATAAATAATTCTGCTATGAATGTTCAAAGAATCCTTTTTCTGGACTAACTTGTTAACTCGTTATTCGCCGTTGTACGGCTTCATTCCTTTTGATAGTTTAAATTAATTTTGAATTATAATTCTATTGTTTTCTATCTTTTGCATTCTTTACAAAACAGTCATTGGGACTTTGTAAAAACTGACAAGATCAGTACCTCATAGGCTCATCTGTAATTAAATGAACTCGTTTACTTTCTATATATCACTCAATTGAAACATGCGCTGACAATGAATATTAATTGCAACAACGTTTAAGATGTTAAGTTTTTCTATGAACTGTGGTTGCAGTATTTCTCTTGTCCCCAAACGTGTCGCTTAAAAATGCTCGATAACTTGAGTAATCATTTCCCATAATTTCCCATTGTACTCCAGAGAGCAGTTGGAGGACCTGGAGCGGTGTAAGCTGAGCACAGTACGCAAGCTGTGCTCCAGCAGTCGTGGCAGCTCTCGAGACTCAGCCATCCACACGACGACGCCTCCAGCTCACCACAGCCCGCCTCTGCAGCCTCACATCCAGTCTTCCACGTGGGATACCCACAACATAACTGTCAAGCTTGTACGTTATTCATTTAGTTTCTTCTTAACTTGATTAATTACTTTCTTAGTTATATCTAAGACGAGTTCTATATTCAAAAGTTTAATTGATTTGGTTTGATCATCCCAACTTTGGTCTGGAAGAGATTCGTTTGAAAAATTAACAAAATAGTTTTACTTGTCTCAGGGAAGCCATAATGAAGGACCAGGCGCTATTATAATCATTTTAATTGTCTCAGGGAAGCCATAATGAAGGACCAGGCGCTATTATAATCATTTTAATTGTCTCAGGGAAGCCATAATGAAGGACCAGGCGCTATTATAATCATTTTAATTGTCTCAGGGAAGCCATAATGAAGGATCAGGCGCCATTATAATCATTTTACTTGTCTCAGGGAAGCCATAATGAGGAATCAGGCGCTATCATAATCGTTTTTCTTCTTTTCTTAGGGAAGCCATTATGAAGGACCAGGGGCTGGACGTGTTGGTTTTGAAGTTCAGAGTGGAGACAACGAGATACCGTCTGTGTTTGTCAGCAACGTTTACAAGGACTCTCCATTCTATGGCAAACTTAGGTAAACGTTTTATGAGTACTACTGACCACCATGTGTGCTCACTGCAGTATTTATTTTCATTAATAAATGCATTGTCAGTATATTCTTTGATTCAATTTTTTATCTCATCCGAAATTTCTCTACGTATTAAACTCTCACCTCAATGTATGCGTATTATTTTATTGAATATAACTAAGTTGTTGGCAGTGAATGGAATTAATTTCGTCAGCAAATGTGGCTCCTTGTCAATAAAAAGGCAAATATGATTATACACATTTATTATCTATTTTACTGAGGTAGGTAAACATCTATACCAACATTTAGGCTTCCGTTTGTATAGTTATTGTTAATTTAACCTGAAATTATGATATGCAGGGTTCAGGACGAACTGATCCGTGTGAACGGTCTGAAAGTGGGTGCGATGACCGACTGCTCGTCTGTGTACAGCGCTGTGCTCGCCGGGGGGGAATACGTCAGTATTGCTCTCCGCAGACGACGCTCGCAGTCATTGGGTGCGTAAACGTGATGGTAATTCAGGTTTAATATTAGAAAATGCCTGGTGATGATATTCCCCGGCGTAATCTTGAAAATTACAGGAATTTTTTGGATAAAGCAGGAACTGCATGGAGCGCTATATTATTATTTAGGTTTAATATAATTGAATGTACTAAATATGAGAGTAATAACACTCGTAGTGATCTTGAAAGTGATACAAAGTATTTTTACAACACAGGAGCTATAAGGAAGCACGGTAATAATTCAGGTTTAATATAAGGAAATGCCCGAAAATTTCAAGTGATGATTATCCTCGTAACGTTAATAGATTTTTTACGATGCATTTATACAACACAGGAGCTGTGGGGAGCGCGTATCATGGGCTGCTACACACCACACACCTGCACTGCCCCAGCGGCGTGTATCACGGCGTGTCTCTGCTGACAGGGGTGTGTGTCGCGGCCATCCAGCCTGGCTCTCCTGCTGCTGCTGAACCCAACCTCGCCCTCGGGGATAGAGTGATCAGCGTGAGTGATGGTGTGATCAGCGTGAGTGATGGTGTGACAAGGCAGTGATGGTGTGATCAGCATGAGTGATGGTGTGATCAGCATGAGTGATGGTGTGATCAGCATGAGTGATGGTGTGATCAGCATGAGTGATGGTGTGATCAGCGTGAGTGATGGTGTGATAAGACAGTAAATAATGGTATGATCAGCGTGAGTGATGGTGGTGCGATAAGAGCGAGAGATTGTGTGATACGAGTGAGTGAAGAAATGATCTTGTACGGTTGTCCTGATATCTGGCCGACCGTTTGGCTTTTTGAATAATACAACGATGGTAATACTAAACTGTTGAAGAATTGCATGCTTTCATTATTGATATATTTTTATTGCAGGTGAACGGTAAAGGCATAGAAGGAGCGGACATCACGTGTAAGGAAGCCCAGCAATTGCTGGATGCGGGTGTGGGAGACGTGGTCCAGATCACTACCCTTAAGACGCTGTGTTCTAATTGCTCTTCAACTCATGTCAGCTGCACCAGCAGTGGGCAGAACCTGGCGTCTGAAAACCAAGATGACTCCGAATTTTGCCACGACTCTTTCAATGCTAAGAAAAATGAGTATGTTCATCACCACCACGAAGCATTCGCCGGCAGCAAGAAGCCGGTTGGGTGTGATGTGCTGGGCGTTGGGAGCAGTGCCGGAAGTCGCGATAATCACAAGAGATTCATGATCAGTTCGGGCTTAGAAGATTGTTTAATGACAGGCGGTCGCAAGTATGGGAGTATGGAGCGCGGTGTTTACCATGTAACTAAAGTAGCTGCGGGTAAAGGCTCTGGAAAATGGGATCAACTCAAGAGCATTGTGAGGCCCCGAAGACACAGCAAGGAGCGAGTTACCAGTCCAGAAGTAAAAGAAAAGCACGCCAATTCGCCTTTTTCTATGGATCAAGAAAAAGAAAATGCAATGGCGCAGCTTGACTCAGTTATCAGTTTGTATCATCACAAATGCAGTGGTATGAGCGGGACTTCTCCATCCAAGTCTAAAGATCGAGACAAAGAAAATAGCGGTGGCACGTGGCCAAAGTACAAAGGTGGTACTTTAAGTGCTTGGGACCCTGAAGCTGTTGGAGCTGTCAGCACACCGCCGCGTCGTGAACGAACTCCTCTTCTGTTACATTCCCCCTCTGGAAACAAACGACTCGACTTCCCTGATATCAAGGAAGGTTTCGACTCCTATCGCTCCACGAAACTAAGTGACACTGCCGTTGCATTGCTGTCAGCCAGCACCAGAAGCAGTTCGAACAGCCCTCAGGCTCATGGTTTTCTCAAAGCTTTGGAAGACAGAGCTGCTGGGACTCAGCATTATGGACCTGATATTTTGTACTCAGCATCCAGTGGCCTGTACACTACTCCTCGTTCAAAGCAAGTAGTTTACAGTGGTAGTATGCGCCAAAATGTTGATATCAAATCTGAAGAGATCGAACGAGAGAAAAGGCTTGGTTCTCTTACTCCTTCAGATACCTCCCTCGATTTCAGCGTACGTTCAGGTAACGTGGGAAAAGAAGAGCTCGAGTATTACGTAAAGAAAAATATAGTGAAATGTCCGCTCAGTGATACTGAAAGCAACGTGAGCAACATTGACATGCATACTTCACCACAGCCCTTGAGTCTTCCTGCTGCTTATGGATATCGTAACTACCAGCTACGGCAGCTGCAAGAGGGCCGCCTCACGCCCACTTCGAGGCTGCCCATTCATCCCCACACTGGTCTGTACTCCCCCTCAAACAGTGGGCTTCGATCTCCTCACAGCTTCATTCCTTACTCCTCACATAACCACTATTCGCATCACCATCCTCACACAAACGTTGGTGCTGCAATCACGAGTGTTTCTCCACGTTACTCTTCTCCCACTCTGCCACACACCACCCCTTCTCCTTTTTTAAGTGCATCAAGGAGTGGCGACTCCCTTCTCTCATCACCCAGCCTCGGCCGGGACCCTATTGATGGCCATGGACATTTCGAACAACGAATTTTTTCTTCTCCCGTCCACGTTTCGAATTCTGCGTCACACGAGCTTCCTTGTAATAAAGTCTCGCTTGGCAAACCTGCTGATGGATCCGGTTTTGCTGGCCAAACGAAACCCGTCTCGCAGTCCGAACACCATCACCACTTCCAGCCCAAGGCTCGCTCCATCCACCCTTACACAGGTGGACTGTCAGTACTGCCGTCCTTCGCACCAGCTTCTCGCACTCCAATCGTGGATGACTCAATGCTCCATCTTACACTCCTACCGTCAGCCAGCTTACTCCTTCCGCCAACCACGTGTCCACCTTCCTACCAGGACTACCACAAAGAGCGAGCTTTCACCACCATGCCGCGGAAACGTGACGAGGAAAAAATTCGTCTCTCAGCGACTCTTGGTGGCCTCATCAAGAGCAGCTCAAGTGAGAGGAATACACCTGTGCCGGACAGCGCCTTAAGAGATAATGGACCCACACCACCTCCATCTCATCACCTATACCACCATCATCACCGTCACTCGTCACCACCTTCTTCACTTTTAACTGCACCCTCAGTAGGAGGTGCAGGGTCTCTGCGTCCAATAGGTGGGCAGGATCCTCAACAGATTTATTTCTCAGTCCATAATAGGCAACTGGGCGAGCATCAGTGGCAACGACGCCCCGAACCAGGAGAAATCCGCAACATCGTTATTGAGAAGGACAGTGAGCCTTTGGGTATTCAAATTAGATGCCTCCAAAACGGAGGTGTCTTTGTCTCAGCAGTGACGGTGAATTCCTTAGCAGAACTTGTGGGAGTTGTTGTGGGCGACCAGCTGCTAGAAGTGTGCGGCATAAACATGCGCTCTGCTACTAAAAAAACAGCTTCTACTGTATTATCGCAGTGTGGCAAAAGCGTAACGATGCTTGTTCAGAATAATGCTGACAAGTACGAAGAGTTGGAAGGATGGCAAGGCAGTAGCAGTGGTAGTAGCTTGCTTGACGGCGGGCGTTCACGTTCAGGCACACCAACACCACGCAATTCCCCTAGATCTGTGAGATCTGCAAATGTGCACCACAGACCTTCCCCTCACCATCACACCGGCCGAACTCCAGACCTACTAGATCACCACAGGTCGTCACCTCGCTACTTCGCAGGGGACGATACGCAGCGCCACAGCGCACTCGTTATGCTGGGTCCAGACGGCGCTCCGATGTATCATGAGCACGTGCTCGTGGATCGTGATGCCAGTCAGGTATGTCTCGTTCGTGATAATTTTATGGTTTTTAAACAATTTATTTCATTTGGATCTTTTTCTTGTGGCATTTTTATGTATACATGATCATTACCCTTGGTAGGGGTAAATTGAATATATCTCAATTTTTTGAATGCCTCGGCTAATCATGATATAGTATGTTCTAAATCGTATATGATCTCTTGATCGTTCTTATTTTCTTGATGTACGGTATATTCTGTTTCACCTCAATTGGATATGTTTCAGAATCGGCACCACATCAGCAGTCCTCATGCTGTTCAAACGTCTCGACGTCACGACGAGGCAGACAGAGAAAATGAAGACAAGGAGGAATCCTTGCCTCCCTCCTCATCGTCAACCCTGCGGTCCCCCCTCCACCTAGGGTCAGGGGAACATTCCCTTTCCACATCCGCGCGCTCCACCCTAACGCGACCACAAATTGCGCACGCCCTCGCCACTCTTACCCGCCCAGATACATACCAGCGGTAAATTATACTGTTCTATAAGTATTCATAATATTACAGAGTATAATTTCTCATTAATATTTGATTAGGTGTCTTTGCTCATCTATTCGTAAAATATCCTCCCTATTCAATAAATATTTTAGTGCAAGAATTTTGTGTATTGCTGGATTTCTATCAGGTAAAGAATATATTTTTAAACGTAGAATTAATTTGAAAATCCATTAATTTCAGAAGTCAACAGCCGGAAGCCGAAGATTCCAGGGATTCCAGGGACGAGATAGGCGCCATGAGCAGCTGCACTGAAGGAGGTCAACTGCTTCAACGCCAACAAGTCTTACGTCACTCCGGTGGTCACGGCACTGAGGGCGGCAGCTGTAAACACAAGAACGGTAACAGCCGTAAGAACAGCAGCTGTAGTAGCAGTAGTGGTGGTAATACTGCAGTGAGCCGTGGCAGTAGCAGCCGTAGCAGTGGAGGAGGCAACCGTAGTGGTATCAGCCGAGCCAATAATAATGGATCAAGGAGCAGCGGCAGCCGCAACAGTGGCGGCAGAAACAGAAGTTCCATTGACCGTAAAGGCCGCAGCGGCAGCGACGCTGAGGAGCCGCGTGTTGTGTATCTTGAAGTTAACAAAAGCTCAAACTTGGGCGTGCGGATGGTGGGCGGCAATGCCTTGGGCGTGTTCGTCCATGCCGTCATGAAGGATTCGCCCGCCAGCCGGTAAGTTTAATGATTCCCTTGACGCTTTGTTTATGGATACGTTTAATGTCATCGATGATATTTATATCTAAAGGCTTGGTAACTAGCGATACAAACGGTAAATAAAGTTGTTAGAGCCTTTTTTGCTCGGGGTCAAATTGATTGCCTACCGCTATTTAGATAGTTTAGATTATGTGAAATGTAGCGTCTTGAACTTGAGTTGCATTCACATTTTTGTCACAGTTTACGACACTTCTCTTTAACTTCACTTCTTATCGTTTGCTTGTCTACTACAAATCTTAAAGGCGCCATCTAACGCACTTCTACTTTTCCAATCGATCTGAAATTTTGCACACTTGCGTAAAGCCGAAGACAATGCATGAACCAATTTACAGAATGAATAATTTTAAAAAGTTTAAAAAAAATTAATGTTGAAAAAAATTAAAGAATAATTTATTGATAGTTAAAAATAAAATAAGACATTCATTGTACATGTGTAACATTGAAGACACTGGCCTCTTTAGAAGTGTTGTCTTTGAAAAGTAATTTCTAAATGCATATTTTTACTTCAACCTATTGACAATTTATTTCAAGTGTTCAACTGAAACGAAGTTTCTTTACTCCTTTCACATGACATTTTTATAAATTTTCAGTGCAATGCTTCGTCCTGGTGATCGTATCTTGGAGTACAACGGCCATGACCTCCGCTATGCTACGGCTGAGCAAGCGTCCTACGAACTCGCCAAGCCTGCTGATAGCGTCGCTATGCTTGTTCAGTACGACCCACGCAGTGAGTTGTGACATTCTTGAGTAGGATATTAATAATGAGATTGATTCCCTGATTTTGCGTTTCTTGACATCTTTAATGTTTTGTTAAAGATTTTATCTTGCAGAAAAGAAATAAGAACTACTCTAATGAGCCTTCCCGAGTTAACTTATCAAATAATGAATAACCATAACCACTAAGGTAAACTTAAATATCCTCATGTTGTTGCACAGCCTACGCAGTGGTGCAGGAACAACCTGGAGACAGCTTCTTCGTGCGTGCGTTGTTTGACAACGTTGGCAGCGAGGCCTCAAACGAGCTCACGTTTCACAAGGATGACATCCTCTACGTCGACAATACATTGCATAATTCCGTGCCCGGCGTGTGGCGTGCCTGGTTGCTAGATCAAGACGGTCAAAAACTCGCATGTGGACCCATACCAAGCAAAGACAAGTGAGGCTTCTTGCTCTGGTGACCTTTATTATGATACTTACCTTTGGAATATTCTCCGTGCATATGAGGTTCGGCATTAAACAATTTTCATCTTAATATGACATGAAGCATAAGAACAGCGAGCATGAGGCGTGAGTATATTTCCGTGGAAAGGGATCAAGAGCTTCTGATTATTATAAAGTGTGGAGCCTTATTCGTAGCTGTTCAAGATGACATTCACTTTCTAAATTTCATTTCACGTAAAATGCCGATGACTTGTAAAATCTCACATAATATTTCATCGGTCGTAACTGATGAGTGTTGCTAGAGAAATGACCGGCGCACTAATTGCAGGGTGGAAGAGGCGATGCTGCAACGTGGCTGTGGCTCGGGTATTGACCTGACGACGCTGCCCTTCAGTGGAGGCACCGTCTTGAGCAGCATCAGTGGCGCCAGTGCCTCCGTGGATCCCAGCAGGAGAGGAAACACCACCGCAAGACGCTCATTCTTCAAACGAAAAAAACATTCCAGGTCAATGAAATAAAACTCGTTTTGTTTATTCGATCTTCTGTTTAGCGTTTTGTGAAATGGTATGAAATAAAAGTGTGAAATGGTATGAAATAAAAGTGCAGAAAAATGGAAAAATGTCATGCTGTATGTTATATAAGCAGCACATTTTGAATGAATGACTTAAATGATTTGAAATTTGCAGCTAACTTACTTTCTCACGAACAGATCCTCGTCCAGAGACAGTAAAGAACTGGCCAGTTTCTCGGACGCGTCCCTGAATTCGTTCGGTGACTGTGGAGCGACGAGCTCCTCCCTGGCTGAGGAGGCGGGGGCCTCCATTGCCTACCTCAGGGTCGAGCGTCTGGACAGTGAGTTACTGTGTTAAGTGGGCGGCGGCAGCGTAATACCTTAGGGCGTAATGTTTTTATTGTGTTGAATTTTCTGTATATTTTCATGCTGTAGCAGTTAACGGTTGGGCAATGCCTCTGAGCCTGTGTTTTTATGGTAATTAAGTTTTCACTATTTCATCGGCAAAAACCACTTTAGTTTCTCCTACATGCATTCAAACCAATCCTGAACGTTATTATGCTCTTGAATTAGTGCTGAATTAGTGCGCAGCTGTGAAATTTTGATGCCTCGCTGCTTTATTTTGAAAAATTTATCAGCATCCCATGATTTTAAATGCGTTTAACTGACATTGCTGAGACTGCAACTGATTAGCCTTAATAAATAGAATAATTTTGTGCATGTGCCAATACGATGATTCTACACAGATAATGTTCGTCGGCCAGTCCTGCTCTTCGGGCCGCTGGGGGAGTTCGTAGCAGATAAGCTGGCATACGACTATCCTAATCAGTTTGTACGCTGCGTGCCTGAAGTAAATCAGCGCGCAACCGCTGAGCAGTTGGAGGCCGCAACTGCAGGAGGCCTCGTTGTTGAGTACAGAAGGCGGGGGCCTGCGTGGGACGTTATCACTGTTCAGCAGGTCAAAGAAATTGCCGAAAAGGTGAGACTTCGATCATGATCTGAGCTCGTGGCTGAACATTTTTTGTCTTAATTTTCCCAGGTTTGAAAATCAACTCTGTGTTACTGTTCAGTGTGAAATGACATTTCTGCAATTATTTTCTCTTAAAATGTTTCGATGCTATCCTTTGAAAGAAATGAACTGCAATATACTTCTTGCACTTCAGGGCTGCCACGGTCTCCTGGACGTGACAATCGGCGCAGTGGAGCGCCTCCAACGCCACCGCATCTATCCCATTGTTCTCATCCTCAAGTTCCGTTCGCACAAGCAGGTGCGCGAAGTTTGCGATTCCCTGCAACATTCAATAGACAAACTTCCCTCAAAACACGCTCTTGACAAAAATTTACCGCAGAAAATATCACAGAAAGAAGCAAAAGAGATGTTTGAATTGTGTAATAAGCTCGAACTCGAGTACAAGAGCCTTGTATCGGCCGTTGTCCCGGCAGTGGTGAAAATGTCGTTTATGTGCAATCAAGTCAAAACCTGTGTTGAATCTGAACAGTCAAAGACTCTGTGGGTGCCCGCGTGAGTGGATTGTATTGCGTGGACCTCGCCCGTGTCAGGTGGTTGCAACGTGCACTGTTGTTCGAAGCTTATGAAATTTCTCTACAATCTTACTGAGGAAGGAAGCGCCTCTCACACTTATGAACAAACTATACCGACATTCAAACTTACATACCATACGTAAGACGTCTATGACATGTATACTAATCTTTCAGAAGCTATTATACAATTGATAGAAAATAAATGAGAAATATGCAAATACCGGTATATGCACTCTTGCTTGGGTCAGGATTAATGGATGATCTTTTTTAGTATGTATCTTCTATTTGCCCAAATGCGGTTGACTCGCTCACGAGTGTTGAAGCCGAGCTGTATATTTCTGATGTGCTAGAAAACTTCTTGAAAGAACTCATTGAATAATATCGATGATTGACCGCCTTATAGTTTTCAAGTTGCTTCTGACTTTATACTCTTTGATTCACTTTGGTTGGCCATTGTTTAATGCAATAATTAATTCAATACTATAATCATGTTATCAAGAGTATCTATCATCTTAATTATTGTGTTGTATGTATGCAGTACAATTAGACATCTCGGCTTATTCATTCCTGATATTGATAAGCATTTCTTACGAATGCCGCTGTAAAGCTCTTCAAAAAGAATTTTTTTCCTTACGATGTAATGTCTTTTATGATATTTTTAGGTTGAAACAAAGTTTTAGTTAATGACGAATTTTAGTTTTTTTATTGATACCTCGAAAGTGCAATAGGAACATAATTTGCTACCTTGCTTCTCAGTGTCCTTTTTCGCAGTTTCTGATGTACGTTACTTACAATCTATTTTAAGTGTTTCTTAGATTCATATTTGTTCTTTGTAATTATTTTCAAATTAATTGTCCTCTGATGACGCCTATTACTAGGTAACTGATTTCAAGACATATCTTTACTTTCGTTGAACAAACTACGAATGGCTCATTACTTCTCTAACGCAGATGCCATTGTTCTCTTCATTATCGAATGACATCTGTCCCGGCAATGCGTATTTTGTGCAATATATTCTATTGATCTCTATTGAATTCTCAGTTATTCGAGACTGGTGTATTTTTTCATGTAGTATTTCATTCAATTTCCCATCGAAGATCTTATTGTTTAAATGCAACTTCCTCGACTAAAGAAGCCAGTCCTTTGTACCTCCTTAGGTCGCGAGCATTTCTGTTTGTTTGATTTTCTTTGAACTGCGCAAAGCTAACCCTATGGTGTATACCTGCTGTGAGTAGTTGAACTGTGTAGCTCACTAGGTAGTAGAAACTCTAACTTAATAGTAGTCTTACATTGCAGCTTCAGAGCTCCTATTCTTCTACTTAGACCGTGAAGTAGCAAATTATCAGCAATTAAGTCCCGCTAATTGCGATGAGGTTGAAAAAAACGCGCTAAATTAAATTATTCTGTACAGCGTCTTTCAGATCAATCAGCAAATTTTTTCCCTTTCTGCTGATCATTATGAAGGATTAATGGTACTACTAGGGAAAATGCGCACGTATTTCGGTAGATCTCTGCCCATTCCCACTGCACGTGGTAGTAATTTTGGCGTCAGCGACCTTACTGTTAGCAGAGCCAATATCTGATGGCAACGGTGAGTGGGCAAAGAGGTCGCCCTCTCCGAAGACGCCTTTCCCTTACGCTTGCTAGTTTCTGGTGCACATTGTGTGGTTGACTTGAGTGCTTGAGAAGGCAATCGAGCCCACCAACCGTAAAAACTTCTATTTTAGAACTTATTTTATCTGAACCGAATTTCCGTCGTCCGTTTTGTTAGGAAATGCTGCTTTCATTGACAGTTCGAAGAAATCGAAAATGTCTTGTGGAGAAATTCGAGGATTTCTTGCGTGCAATATTTTGATGCCTCGTGTATTGTCTATTATCTCTTCTTGGGCCTTTGATGCCATTTTTGGGACTGGTCAGAAAGTGAAGAGAGTGCATTCCATCTTTACTGATTGGCAGCTTACTTGTCATTGTCGGAACGATAGAAACTTTATAAACCAATGTAGACTCCGGGTTCAATAAACTTGTATCATGTTTGAGAAAAATCAATATCAGATGAGAGTTAGTTCTGATGACTCTTAATTTAGCTGGGATTGTTGATAATTTAAAAGGCGGTATAGAGTGCGTTGATGGAAATTGATTGGTTTTCAAATTGGTTGTCGTATTGATGTTTTCATCGCGACTAATTGACTGGTCGGCGTATCGCGAGAGTTTGAGTCGTGATAAAAGTTTCAGTTGTTTGCAAGACGTAACCTCATAAAAACTGACGATTTCATAACAAGTAAAGTATTGTGAACAACTACTTTATTGATATTACAGGTGATTGCATCTATGCGATCAATAGTAAGTAGTGCCTAGAATCATGAACATAAGTACTCTGACGCTTATACAAGGCAGCTGAATGGCTAACAAGAGAAATATGATTAATGGGCTATTCATATTATGAACTGGAGAATATGACCGCATAATTATTTAAAATCGTCATATAGTTGAGCGGAAAAATTGTATCCATGAAATTCAATCAAAGTAGAAACTTCTCATATCATTTGTGGGAGTTGGAAGGGAAGATTAACTACAGGTATAATATTTGAATTTTTGATACATGGCCTCGAGAAAGTTGTGTTAGTTTTAAGGCTCGTTTAATAACTAAGAGTCCCTGTGGTCCTGAGGCGATGTTTCTCGCCGAGTGTTAGCCTGTGCCCTTACGACTGTTCGCTCCTGTAGGGTATAAGAACCAACGACAATAGGCATAATAATAATATCCTGTTATTGTGAGCTATAATATCTATTTATGGTTGTTGCTGTGGAGTTCACGTTGATCTATCAAATCCTGTAGTATTTTCGTACCAGCCCTTGATGCTTGAGGAAGTCCAATCGTATTTTTCTAAATCATGATCTGCTCGTCGTCTTCGACCAGTCTTACCTTAAGCGAAAATGTAAGCTAGCTAATTTTAACGTCATTCATATCGATTATCGAATCCTTGACTGGCTTCACGATGAGCAGAAGTCTTTAATTTCTCGCTAAAATTTGTTCTTCAAAGCTTACTGTGTAGCCGTGCTTTGAAGGCTCTTGTCACAGATTATATTTCTAGCTATCCTAAAAAAATAATATCTTTAATTGTTCGTGACAATCAAAACTGTAAATCTGATTTTATTTCCTGCGATGAATGGAGAAAGAGTTAATTGAATATTCTAAACCTTGCAACTTTTCTCGTCTCTTTGTTCACTATGACTGCCGAAAATGGGACTTCTCTGCTTTTGGAAAAAATATATTGCCTCTTTCGCTTGAATGTCTCAAATTAGCACGAATTAGTTCTCGGATGAACCTTATGGTTGTGTTGTCTTTCGACTACTTTGAGGTTTAAACAAAAACTATTTCAGAAATTATAGCCTTGTCTTCTGCATAGAAATATTCATCGATCCAAAACCCGGTTTTTTCGTCATTGGTGATTAGTGTAGTTTCATGTAGTCGTTCCGACCACCAAATATGTTTGTGAGCAGCTCTCTCTATGTTGGTCTATAATAGTATTGGCTGAAGTCTCGAGTTTGTATCCGCATCCTTCCATTGTAGATCAAAAAGATACCTAAACGTCGGCGGTTCAGACGCTAAATTACAATTTTACTCTAGCAAAAAAACCATCTAATTGATCCAGCGTAGATTATTGAATTGAATGCATCCATACCTAAAGAATTGTTCTCTTTCTCATTAGAGGCACGTGCTATTTGCTGTTGTTGGAAATGTTTCATGAATCGTTCAATTGGATAGAGTAGAACCTGTTGTGTAATTCTTTCATGGTTGTAACCGGCAGCTTGTCACCTAGTAGCAACCTTTGCAGGCGTTCACGTTCTGCTCCTTAGGTCGCCTTTTAGCAGTCATTTTTGATAAAAATGAACTAGAAACCTGTGCCCTCGCCCTCTCCACATGGGATGATTCTACGTGCACCGGTGGTGATCAATACTCTAATCTTACCACTTTGGTGCTACACGAGACCATTTCATAATGCCACTCAAAAGTTTATTTTACTATGACGCTGGCAATAATTTGGAGATCTTGGCTTTAAGCTTTTGCCTCGAATAATTGTTTTGGCAGAAATGTTGAGTCTCTTCGCTAGCAATGTCATCATATCGAAGGGCTTCATATAGCATGTTAAGGCATTTGAAACGCTTGTTCAAGCAACGCAGGCAAGACAACGGAAGTTAACTGACACTCAGAGCTCATATCTCTAACTTGTTCGGTCTCCCTCGTCTATCCCATGTAAATTGTAAAAAATGTTATATTTTATGTGTAAATTTTCTTATGCAGCGTATGTACCTATTCAAATAAAAACATATTTTATATTTATGTATTGTTCATTTTAACAAATTTGCACCTTGGGAAATAGGAATTCTGAAACTGCATTTGTGGACGCGTGTTGTTGGCTCCATTATTTGGACGAGCAATGTCTTGTGTAGGTATTCGACTATTTCATCTGGATTCGCGTAACTGCAACGGTTGGGGGTTCTTAGCATGTCTTGTTGATGCTATCATTATATGAACTAGAAAGCAATAATCAGCGACGTCTTGCGAGCACGACATACATTACGTGTGATAAGTTATCATGAAAGTAATGTATATTCGTATCAGTGGCTGTATGAACTCCTAGAAAAGCTTCACTTTTATACAAACCCCCCTCGTATAAACACTGATTCTCTCACCGTGGGAAATATGAAGCATCGACAGAGTTTATAAGCGATGTGTTGGTGTGAAACATAATTACGGGTGAACATAAGCTAAATTCATTCTAAGATTATAGGAATTGCTGAACTATTTGAATTTCATTCGCAATCTTTTCAAGAGAACTATACAGTCAATCTAATTTAGTTTAATCATAATTGTAATGACTGCAGCCACAGCGATAAGCGTCAAAGGCCTGAAACATCGCAGTTTTTGAAAAGCATAACCTCAATAAAATTTCTGGTAAGAATACATTCTTTACTACACGAGTTTAGTAATGAAAAAGTTTTTTCCCCATGACAAAAAATCACAGATTCAGTAGAAACTCGGAAATTTTCAACGAGGAAAGATGGACAACAAAACATATCCGAGTAAAACAGATCAATATTTCTAGTGCTTGATCTCTGGGGTGTTTGTTGCTAAGCTTCACGTGAACACGTTCAATTTATTCAGCTAAATCGAACTAATGCCCATCTTCATTATACTTGCACGCTTACTTTCTCTTATTAACACTTTCATATAGACTATTAGAATATCTATTACGCAAATCAAAGTTAGAAATAAAAGCACTATAAAACCGTCTTCAATAAGTTAATATTTAAGACTTCTCTAATAACTAATAAACAATTTAATATATATTTGACTGCAAAAATGGAAAATATAGTCTATAAAATGCAATAAAAAACATTTTTGACTGCAAGTAATAAATTATAGATGGAATTTCTATCAAAATAATACCCACATTCAATCCAACACCTCCTGTAACTCCTCACAAACAGCAGCCAGTAGGCGTATCATTACCTACACACTAATTCTAACAAGCTATTTTCTTTAAAATGCACGCAGTTCAAAGAAGTTTAAACATACAATTCATTTGAAAATTTATCTGCACTCTTTTACGCATAGAATACTAAGATTGGTTCCAGAATAAAATAGCTGGCGCTTAGTTTCCAGAAAATAGTGAAAGCACGTGTTTCTACATCGACTCGTTAAGGAACGTGATCGTGAAACGTAGCTAACCTTCTCACCTCCAGACTACTGCAATCTGTAGCGGTTTGACTCCCAACAACATCATGTATCCATCGCAATACAAATAACATTTAAACTACTGTCATCAACGTGAACACAATCGAGACAAAAAATTAATTCAATGGACATTCCGTACGAACAAAACACTATATGTCACTGGATTTAGTGAGTAGTTTGGCTAGCTTGTGAAGCTTATCCTTCTTAGAGACACAGAAAGCCTCGGCCTCCCAAAGCATGTTGAGAAGGACCTCGTCTCTGGTCTCGTCGAGCTGCACGTCAGCCGACAGCAGCGGTGAGAGACGCACATAGCGCACGTTGCTGGTCTGGCACCAGGCGCGGCATCTGTCAACGGTGTGGTTGTCTGCCATCGTTGCCTGGAGATTAAAGTTTCTTTGAGTTGATGGATTAATATTGACTCAAGTTGACTGATTGAAATAATTACATGCCATTTTTAAGTAAGGAAAAGAGTATGTACTTTTTACAAAACAAATCACTACCGTAGCCATTGAAAAATGATAAAATAAAATTATTAGACATGGAATAGATCAAAATTAGAAATTATACAGTAATGACACGGACACCTGAGATCAAGTACAAGAGATCCGGATGGATGAATGCCGAAATCTGAGCGAAAATAACATTTCTTAGGAAATACCCGATTTACATTTCCATTGCCGTTACAGAATAAATTCAGAAATTATTGTTCAGTAAATGGTCATAATAGAGGAAAAAGTAAATCTGCGTAACATCTCACTTGATCTATCAGTAGCTTGGCCATGTTGGAAAGACCAAATGCCATCTGCAGCGTTCCGTACAGACTCTCCGGCCGGAAGCAGTCGATCGCGTTCACCTTAAGAAAAAAGAAAAATCCATCCCATGACACACAATTTGTTTTCACCTGGCTGCTACGACCTACCATTATATTCAAAAATGCTACTTGTAAAACTGTTTAATTAACTAATCACCGAGTTAGGTGTTCAAAAATAAAAAAATGAATTAAATAAAAAAATATTAGTTAGTAATAGTAGTAATAAACATATTATTTTGAATCGAAGGTGCGATCTTCTGTCGGGTCACATTATCAAATTTCTTCGGCAGTACTAGGCTTTTTTCCGGCTATAGGTGCTCTGAGTCAGGTTCTCGGTTTCCATAGCGGTGGTTTGCTCAAGCTTTGGTCACCTCAGTTTAATTTGCCGCTCATTGTCACGGAAGTTTGTCTGGGCAATGAATTATTCGTGTGTAGTTTTTCTGGCTTATACCTTCACAGAGTCGCGATAGATCTCCGGTGGCAGAGATCATTCACTCAAATACCGTCTAAGGTAACGATAAATGATGCTTCTAAAATCCTCCTTCGGCATCCTATTCGGTAGGTGTGTGGGGATAGCAGTCAGACGTTACTGTAGCTATGCCATTGCAGTACTGTGAAAGGGACCTGGCAGTCGTTTCAGGATGCCATGGAGCGGCGCTCAATCCGGTAGCTGTCTGTGGGTGAGGCGTGTATGGCCAATCCTCAATCTACACAGAGCGGCACTTTCACGTTCCAAGCATTTATACAATCCGAAAACGGCCGCAGTATATTTTCTCTAATGTTCAGCCACAGCTAACGCCATATGTGGCAAACATTAGCCTCGATGATTGGGTAGCAGTCGTGGCATAAAACCTCCTAACTGTGAATCGCTGTCCAATAAAGCAGCGCACACCGCCGCCATGTCCGACGAAGCAGCATAAGGATTCGCTACGTGGGAGTGGCCTCAAACGTTTCAGGTATAACCTGCCTCTGTTAAACCTGGGCTGCCGCAGACAGTATTTCGTAATCTTCAGATGACGATATTTTGTGTAAAAATATGTTTGCTCGGTCTTGGGCCATAACACGGAGCCATATTGAAGATGAGGGAAGAAGAGACTCACAGCTTCTAGCGGAGGTCTGCCAGTGCCGAGAGAGACCAGAACTGAAGGTCTGGTAATTTCCTGAGGTCGGCCCAGAGCTCGCACGACGGCGTTCCTTTCGCTGATCTCAGTGAGGAGGTCGAGTGAAGGATTGTTGGCAATCAAACCACCGTCGATGAAACGACCGTACGCTCTGCAGAGTAACGTATATTTCATATACATGAAACAGTCTAGAGAGCAAAAGTGCAAATCCAGTATCGTTTCAATCTCATTCACTTCGATGGGTAAGATATCGAGTCAACTTACGAACATGCAAAGAAATAACCATAAAAATTGTCCTGATCGGCCGACCTGAAATATGAGGGGGCGGCCCCCGAGGCTCGCGCAGCCTCCCACACGAGCTGCTGAGAAGGGGGCTGCGTCGCGACGAAAGATCTTGGCCCAACACCAGAGGGCGACGTAGCGACCACTGAAAATTTGTTTTAAAAAATGCATATAATTAAACCTACATGTGGCGAAGACATTTGAGTAACACCAGATCATCGATAAATTCCATTGGAAAGATGTAATTATTCCGCCGTTGCACGTCCAAATTTCAATTCAGAAAAAGTAAACTTTCTTCCTACTTAAACAAATTCTCGCATTTTAAGAATACATGAGATACGCATTCGTGAAAGAGTATCGGCAGGGCAAAGCTGGACTATTTTTACCGTTGTCAGGAGACATTAGCGGCCTGTGCGTCCTGAGCAGCTGTTCCCCGCTGTCGTAGTTACGGAAGAGGTGAAGGTCTGCAGGGTAGCGGTCTGCTAGCACGCCCGTCACCACAACTCTTCAAAATAAAGTTACTTATGTTACCTCTCAATTAAGGGCGACAGACGTATCATTAGGACCAATATTTACAAGCACCTCGCCTATTTTTAAAGTCTGATATTTTTTATTTTACATTTTTATTCATACATTTACTATCCAATTAAAGGCAACAAAGGCACAATTCAGATCAATATTTACATACATCTTACTTTCGTAAAAGTCAATAACGGTTAGTTATTAATTTTGGCTTATAAATTTCCATCAAAGTTTTGACCTGAATCGCCAACAATTATAAAGTATAACGATTTTTTAAGGACGCTGGATTCACGAGGGTATATCCGTCACGTTATCGCATTATTTAATGCATGACTCACTTGACGCCGGTTTATCCGTCACGTTATCGCATTATTTAATGCATGACTCACCTGACGCCGGTTATATCCGTCACGTTATCGCATTATTTAATGCATTACTCACTTGACGCCGGTTATATCCGTCACGTTATCGCATTATTTAATGCATTACTCACTTGACACCGGTTTTATCCGTCACGTTATCGCATTATTTAATGCATGACTCACTTGACGCCGGTTATATCCGACATGACCGTCGTCTCCCCCAGCTCCCGCTTGAGGACGTCCTCAAGAGGTCCTTCAGGATAGGGACGAGTTCCCTGGAACACCTGATCCTTGAGTCTGAAGTACAAGCCCAGTGCGTAGTCGGGAGACTTGTCTGAAGCCAGCAGGTATTAATTAAACAAAGAGCTTCAGGTTACATGGGGGCATTATTAGCATTTAATGCGGTGAACGTATTGTCCAGGCGTATTACATCCCTGGTGATTCACGAAAACTTCCTGATTTGAAAGCTCAGTAAAAAATAACTAGCGATGATATCATTAGAATACAAATTTTATTGAAAAATACATTACCTACATGAATTTGGTTGGCATCACTTAGTTTCAAAGATGACATCGGACAAAAGACGACCCTCATTGTCAAGCCATGCATTTTAGTTAGTTCGATTAATGAAGTTCCGTTCAACCCCATGAAGCATATAGACGAGCATGTTGGCGATGGCTTGGCGTAGGTATGTTGTTCTTCACATGAGGTAGATTCCTTGGACAGTCATAATTAACATTGATTTACGATAGCCCTATAAAAAATCAGCCAAATAAGGGGATCGAAATCAATAAGGGGATCGGGCCGGCCAAAAAAAGTCACCTCTCAAGGAGATGAGGCGCTCTGCAAAATGTTGTCTCAGAACATCCATTGAACCTTAAGCTGTGTGGGACGTGGCACCATCATCCGTTTTCGGGTGATGTGGCAGTCCGCCAACCTCCAGACCCTCTTGCATTTACACTTCCACTTGCCCTATATGTGTTACCCCACCGTACGTAACAATCGATTTCCGATCAGGAATCCGACTTGAAGGGCGGATACGGGATGCTCGTAGATTAGCGATAATAGAACGACCATTTGAAAATTACGCCTCGACAGCAAACATACGCTGCTCACTTGCCCAATGCATAGTGGCAAATGAGAGAGCAGGACACAAAACTTCATGACCTTGTCTTTCATTTTAAATACTCCCAGCACTTTTCCTACAACACCCGGCTGCTTGGCGCCTAATACGAAAAAGGAAGTTTCCGTGAATGCAACCAGATAAATTCAAATTCAAAAACTATCATTTTAATAAAATTATCACAACAAATTTGCAATTACAAAAATTAATGAGTAAATTGATAATGCAGGAATAATTAGTACATTCCTTCAAGCGAAATCATCCATCCCTATAAGTTTAGACGCTCTTTATCTTCGTATTGACATCACCCACCAAAAATTAAAAGTTAAAAACTCAAATACTAAAAACCAAACATGGCCTAAGCCTTTGAAATGTTAAGATAATTTGAACCAAGAAAATAGTGGTTCTTGAGCTAAGCATGACTGCTTATGCTTACTGCTTATGACTGCTTATGCTTACTTGCTGCTTATGTTTACTCTCGGCTGACGTACCAAGAGACAGAGCCAGGGCGAGGATTGCCCCCGTGCTGGTGCCGGCGATCCAGTCAAAGAGTCGCTTGATGGGCGCGCCGAGGGCATGTCGCTGCAGGGCGCGCAGCAGCACAATCAGCACCAGCCCGCGTATCCCGCCTCCGTCCAAACACAAGAGTCGAGCGTCCACATCCTCCATACTCGCATCTCTACACGCATGCAGACAAATTACTTTTATAGGATTATTTTATTATCTGCTTATTCTAATCGTGTATTAGAGGAGCGTTTATCTGTTATGGATATGCCAAACTCGAACTGTGCAATTATTCCCCCAATAAGATCATCAAGTGAAGTTAAAATTAAATACAACCCGTTGTTTTTGGAATTTTCCTACATTAGAGTTCTAAAATACAATATTTTTACAGCAAAAAGCAACATTTTAGATCCAAAATGCAACATTTCAGTCCCAAAATGCAACATTTCAGTCCCAAAATGCAACATTTTCACTTCCAAAATGCAACATTTTCACTTCCAAAATGCAACATTTCAGTTCCGAAATGCAACATTTCAGTCCCAAAATGCCACATTTTCATTTCCAAAATGCAACATTTTCAGTTCCAAAATGCAACATTTCAGTCCCAAAATGCCACATTTTCACTTCCAAAATGCAACATTTTCAGTTCAAAATGCAACATTTCTGTTCCAAAATGCAACATTTTAGTCCCAAAATGCAACATTTTCAGTCCCAAAATGCAACATTTCAGTTCCAAAATGCCACATTTCAGTCCCAAAATGTCACATTTCAGTCCCAAAATGCAACATTTCAGTCCCAAAATGCAACATTTCAGTTCCAAAATGCCACATTTCAGTCCCAAAATGCAACATTTTAGTCCCAAAATGCAACATTTTAGTCGCAAAGTGCCACATTTAAGTCCCAAAATGCAACATTTTAGTCCCAAAATGCCACATATCAGTTCCAAAATGGAACATCAAAAATAACCACGACTCACGGATCGTCGAGGCCACACATGGCGTCGTCCAAGAAGGCGTCGTACGGTGAGCGCAGTCGCTCCCTGGCGTCGGCGATGGCTTCAGGCGGCACGCCGTTGTAGCTGCCCACGGGACTGCAGCCGCTGCAGCACGAGTCGTGATGCTGCAAGCATCGTGCAGCACCAACAGCATGCAATGCGTACAGCATTTCAGCTTTGCCGCGAAATGTGCTGTTGGCTATTACGTGACGTGCTGTTTCTTTCTTACAACAGACATAAAATAAATATTAATTAGCATCAAATAATCATTAAAAAATCACATTACCGTACAAATATGCATAAAATTAGGAAGAGCAACACACACTAGAAGAAGTGTTGTAATCGTGTATGAGTTTCATTTTTTGCGCAAAATTATCCAGTACTTGGAAACATTCTGCAGTTATTATTACAGACACATAGCCGAATCACTTAACCACAATAAAAACATAATACATGACCAACTTCTAACGCAGAGATAAAGTAAATCAACTAGATTCTTTCCTTCACATATTCTAAGCCACGGCACGACACAATGTCCCATTAACAACACCACGCACCAAAGAATTCATGCAGTTCAGAGGCGCCCCGAAGACAATGAGAGCGTGCAGCACCGCGACGCTCTTGGCGAGATGGAGGGGCGTGTTGCCTTCCTTGTCAGCGATGTCAGGACGGGCGCCGTGGCTCAGCAGGGCGACCACGCACCCAAGTCTGTCGTGGGCAGTCATGAGGTGAAGGGCGGTGCGCCCGTCGAAGTTCTTGGCGTTCACGTGGCACTTAAGCTCCACCAACGCAGTGATCATACGCTTTGATTTGGCCCAGTGAAGGGGGGTTCCGCCCAGCTTCATGTCCTGACAAAATAAACAAAAAATTATAACATCACACATGAAAAGAATATTAAGTAAGAATAAGACTAATTAATTATTTATCTGGTTATTTTATAATTAAATGATGACTGGCTATTTTCAAGCATCCAGAATAATTTCATCAAATAATGCATCATTTTCAAAAATTGTTTAATTATTTTATTTGATGACAAATAGTATAAAATCATAATCAACAATCAAATTAATTACAATCATTTGCAGGATACAAAGGCAGTAAATTATAATAAATTCAAACAAAATATTGCAATGAAGTTGGCACCACGACCATATCCATTAGTATAAAACATGTACTCAAGGGAACGTAATATTATAATAGATAAAGATGTACCTGAACATGCAGCATGTTGGGGTGACGCTCCAGGATCTCCCTAGCACACGTGTCGCTGTCTGCTGCCATGGCGGTGTGGATGGCGAGGCACGAGTCCTGCGTCGCCGCCACGTTCACGTCAACGCCCGCTGATAACAACGCCTGCAAACTCAACAAACTTTAGCATCAAATACTCGAGACCTCAAATAAATAAAGAACTAAAGACTTTACGCATAAAGACTTTCTATCATCAAATACTTGAGACCTCAAATAAATAAAAAACTAAAGACTTCACACATAAAAACTCTATCATCAAATACTCAAGACATCAAATAAATCTAAATCTAAAGACTTTACACATAAAAACTTTATCATCATATACTCAAGACCTCGAAAAAATCAAAAACTAACGACATCACACATAAAGGCTCTATATCATCAAATACTTGATAGTCATAAAAACAAAAAACTAAAGACTTCACACATAAAGACTTTCTATCATCAAATACTGAGACCTCAAATAAATAAATAAAAACTAAAGACTTCACACATATCCATATATACGAAAATATTTGAAGTCGGCGAAATTACAGCATTTGTTTTGACACAAAATTACAAACACAAACACAGAAATCTGCAAAAGCTAAATTTTCATCATCAGCAAAACATTAAATACTATTTAATACCGAAAACATAGGTAGGCTCTTCCACACTGAAAATAACACTTAACAGAATTCCATGATATTATTGAAGCCAAATAACTACAAACATACAAACGTTGCAGCGTGTAAAATTCCTTAAAGAAATAAAATCTGCCAAAAATAAATCTTCAGTAGACATTTTATTCTTTGAGAAATAAATTTGACTCACCGTGACACAGTCAGGCTTGTCGGCCTGACATGCAATGTGCAGAGGAGTTTTCCCAGCGTTGTTAGGCGCATCCATAAGGATTGAGCGAGGCATCTGCATTATCAACTGTGATAGCGGAATGTTTAGTAAGTGCATTGTGGGAAAGTCCCGGAAAAGTTTTATGCAGGGTAAACAATCTTCAGTTTTGAAAAGAAAAGAACAAAATACCAACCTAAGTCAGTCAACCACTACAGTTACGAATTATTTTGATCAGAATAAAAGAAAACACAGAATTGTATCTTAACAGTGAAATATGTGGTAATAATCCATTAAAAATAATAAGATTAAAGCGATTGCGATTCGGCAAGAATTTGCACCGTTTTGATCAAATTTGAATAACCTTGAGGATTACACAGCACTTTTGATAGAGCTCTTCCAACATGAAAATAGTATGATAGGTATTGCAGAGAAGGAATTAGATCAGGGAGCATAAAAACCCAAATAAATGAATGCTAATCAAGTAGTTGAGAAATCATAAGCAAGGTAATTTTATTCAAGATAAATTGATGTCAAATAAATTTAACAAATTGACGAGACACACCTCAATAATTTGTTTGTTAGTTGAAGCAGCAAGATGATACACAGAATTTCCTTTCACGTCAACTGCATCAGTGGACACCCCCATCTGCATGAGGGCTTTGATCACTGCCACCTTCTGCCCTCTAACTGCAATGTGCAGTGGTGTCTCTTGTAAGTCTAGCTCGGCTACATTGCAGTACCTGTAAAAGTTTATTCGACAGGATTATTAGAAGCCTATTGGCTAATTAAGAGCTGGTTTCTTGGAGGCATTTTCAAAATCTGGCTTGAAAACAATTCATTTAGATGATTTAGTTACACATTAAAAACAAAAAGAGAGTTAAATTCAAAACAGAAGCAAACTAGAGTTATTAAATGAAAGATGATTGTCACAACGTTAGAGTGAGTGTGCATAGTTGTGTAATTGAAAAACATCGTGCATAAAAACACCAATAAGTAACAACATACAATAGAAGTTACAATAATAATTTACAACACAAATAATTAATGGAAAAGGTGTAAAGGAAAAAAAAACATCATATGCTTGACTATGAATCCCTGTGAAGCTGTATGAATACGGTGTACATCTGAAGGCACATTGTTCAAGAGTGACATTACAACAGCACGTACTGAGCCACAGATGCGCACTGCATGAGCTCTGCATCCCCCAGTTGAGCTGCTATATGCGCAGCCTGCCAGGTAGGATGTTCTCGGTGCAAAGTCATCAGTTCTTGCATACAGCGAACATTATATACTCCTGCAGGTAAAAGTTTACAGTATTTAATAGTGGCACACAAGCGCTTTGGTATAGAGGACAAGCATATGCAATATAAGTAATGAAATAATTTTTTTATTATTTGTAATTATTTCATTGTACGATTATTGTGAATAGCGAGATGTAAAAAGTTTAAACATTTTTCTTCTTTCTCAATTTTTCTATTGCAATCTTTATTACGTACTTCATGAGCTCTTACAATCTTATTGTTAAAACCTGGGAAAGTGGAACCAACCTTGTTGACGTCCAGAAAATAGAAGTGGGCGTAAAAGTTCTCTTAGCCGAATGAAGCGCTCTTGTGCCGACTGCCGATTTGTGAGGCGGAAAAGGCTGCAAAGAGTTCCAAGATTATGCAACTGGTAACAAATTTTGTTTGAAATATTTGAAAAAATAGGTCATCAGTCATTGCAGTAATAATGATTAGTAATTCTTGAATCTTCACAAAAATATATATGTGAATGTAGTTTTGCTAGACTTGAACTTTTTCTTGATTGAGTGGAGTGAGGAATGTGATGAAGAAATATCATATAGAAATAGAACACCATAAATGCAAGTCTTCTCAACACACCTGATGGCAGTCCTAGCATTGGTTTCAATAGGCTGTTGAAGGATAAGTTCATACTTGTCATCTTTGGTTGGACCATACAAGAAGAGGCCTTCCTCACGGGCTAAAACCTTGAATACAAATTGGGAGGTAAAAAAAATTTAGGTTGACTTCAGCTTATAATTTTCCTGTAAATTTGCAAAATCAGTATGCTATCAAATCTACTCAATCAACCAGCTCATTATATCATAAAATATCTTTCAATAAACTACTGGTAAACAAATTTGAGTTAATTACAGTTATCTAAGCCATTAACAAGCAAGTTACCATACCATTTACAAAACTTGAAATCTCAGCACCAATGACCCATTACATCTAGTTTTTATACAAGGCTAAGTTATCATGATGCAATACATTTCAGATTCATTTAAAATCTCATCTTAATATTAATCTCAATGTTTGATTTCAGTGAGTATAACACAATTCAAGAAAATATTTCGCTCTAAACTATCAAACATATTCTAAAAAATGTCAACATTGCTTAGTAAATAATCAAAATTAATTCAAAATTTATTTATGAATATTAAACATGTACAAATTGCCATGAACCTATAAATATATACACAGATATAAATTACTAATAAATCAAGGTTATATCAAATAGAATATACTCATCTCCCAAGAAGATACTCATCATCTTAACTAAAAAAATTAAACTCAGACTAAATTTTATTTGTTCTAAGAAGTGTTTTTTTAGCAATTAAGACTGAAGCAGGAAAATGAAATGAGCAACAATTATCGTACCACACCTGGATATTTGCAAATGCAGCAATATTCACTTCAACTACTGCTTCAGGTGCTACCTCTGTAGTTAGGAAGCTCTTCACAAAGTTCCCCACGAAATTCATCTAAAAAACAGCAAATGCATCATTAAAATAAATTATTGAATAGTTGCATACAGTAAGTGGCCATATTATACTGGTATTAGGTTTAAACTTATATATTTTTAGAGAGTGGTTTTCAGCAGAGTAACCGAGAGCATTTCTAAGAAATTTTTCTTTCATACATGATTTACAGAGCTGTAGACTGACCAAACCATTTTTCCACAAATAATTTTTAGCTGCAGGGTACAAAGCAAGCACTGCATTATTGCATACAAATGCAACTGAAACTAAAATTTTAATCTGTTTCCAAACCTTGACCAGAATATCTTTAAAATTGCTCCAATCAATCTGTTAGTCAAAGTTATAATCTGTGCATGATTAAAGACTGGCACTAAAGAAAGTTTAGTTAGAGTACATAGCTACAATATTTCTACTAGTACATATCTTGCAAATAAGTCCCTACATCTACTCGGAACATGAACATTAGCTTTATTTTTGTTATTTATCAGTTTTAAAGATTCAAATGTACAATATTTGAAGGTTACTTGCAAGTAGAGAAGTCTTTCAGTGCATTGATCAACTAATAGAACTGATGAAGAATTACATGTTTATTACGTACATCTTCATGCAAATATCTGACATCTCTGACATTCAAGCTTCAGTGCAGTAAAAGTCTGAAAATATGTTTAAAAAACTGATCACACTATATTGCATAAAATATATATACTAACATTCACCTTGACATATTGGATGATTGTGGGTGACTGGGTCAATAAATAAGCACCATAATCTGGAAAACTTTGAGAAGCACAAATCCTCAGTGTCAGTTGAGTATGTGGGCTAAAATGTATCACAACCTCCTCTATAGCATCTTTTGGATGAGAACTAATAAACTGCAGCTTCTAATATGCATCTTCTGGTTGAACCTAATAAGAGAATTGGGAGCAAGTGTCAATAATCCAGTCACTAAAATAACAAATGCAAACTCAAACAGTTAAATAGAAGGTCATTTTATCAGTAAAATAAAAAGTCTCCTCTCAAGAGAAAACTGAACACTTCACACAAGAATCCTGTATGCTACACCTCATGCAAAGCACTCAAGTCACAGAAACAAGCCAATAAAATTGACTTAGAGTTAAGTGAGCAGTGGATTTCAGGCTTAGCAGTGGATTTGAGTATCAATTGCACACAGTCAGAAACAAAATAGTACTCCATGGGAATATTGAATCATTCATGACCTGGTTTTGCTTAATTAATTATGCAAAACATTCATCATTACTCCCATGAGCCTGCCATCATAAAATTGTCAAAGCATGACAACAATTAAACAAAGCAATAAGCTTGTAGCCTGTAGGAAGACATAAATGTTGATGTTTAGATTCAAGTATAGAACTACCACAACTAAATAAAGCACCTATGCCCCTGAAGGCTTGTGCTTTAAATAAATCAAGAAATAAAGGAATTCACTAGAGTTTGAGTGTAGTCTATACAATTACCAATTCCTGACTCCACTTTCAGAAACAAAATACTCCATGGGACAGTGCATCTGCGTATGTTGGGATGACGTCATGCAATCTTTATTCCAGAGTCACTGGGCATAAGGGCAGGAGTTGTAAGACCAGACATGGTGGACAGTTGCTATCGCACCCCCCTCATTCAGCTGTGCAGACAGTGCACACTTGTCACTCACAGCAAGCAATGTGATGTCCCTGTTTCTGACAGTGGCTTTAGGGTGTTAGCTTCACCTCCAGTGCTTCAGATTTGCATATTTCAGAATCCTTGTATATTCTTAAACTTAGGTTCAGTTAGAATTCAGCTGTTAGCTCCTATCCCCTTGATATGGTAAATATATAGATTTTTTGTCTGTATTATTTGTACTCGTAAATTATGGTTTTTAATTGCATTATGATTTTTCAATAGCATTAATTTGTAACTTTCTATATAAATTCTAGATTCTACAAACTGACAATGGAGCTGGACTCCAAAACGTTTTCTATATAGCCTACGGTAGGTAGATAAGAATTTTTGTGGACAATTATTCGTTTTTAAGATTGTGGTAAACTTTAAGATCCACCGGCGCAAGAATAATGAACAGCAAGATTATAGTCAAATGGGGTAAGACAGGATCGCAGCCTTCATGGGGTAAGAAAGGACCGGCCCATGGCGTGCATTCTAACTGCACTGAATTTAATTTGACAAAAGAATATGTTAGAGCAATCATTGCCAGTCATTTCAGTGTTTGTTTCAGCCCTGTTCTGCAAATAATGAATTTTTGGTTAATTTTTAAAGAAAACCTATGTAAAGAAGGGTCACAAAATAGTTAACCCTATTTGGGAAATAAGCTCTGTCTCATTACAAAAAATTTTTTGGCCAGTTTTGTGGATGTCGGCAGGTAACCTCATGTAATAAGCAACTTTTGAGACATACTAGGCATTCTTACCTGCTACCATCACTGCCTGACATCTATTATAAAATGGGGTAAAAAAGGACCGGACATGGGGTAAGATGGGACCACTACGTACATGATCCTGTTTTACCCCACAAGTGGTCCTATCTTACCCCACAAATGGTCCTCTCTTGCCCCATAGTTTATCAAAAGTAGCTTTTAAATGAATATATTATTGTGCATAAGTAAACATTGAGTATTTTGGTCAAAATTTTTATCTTTTGCTCAAAATAACCATTCCAACTAGTTAGCTTTTTTAATTAGAGAAATTTAGCTTACTATTGAAAATTGTATCAAGGGGATAGAGAAAATAGGGATGTCTCTTCCCATTAGTGAGCTGCAGAACTATGTGTAAGAGTGGTTGGGGGAGAAATCATTGTGTGAAAAATAAAAAATATTTAATATCACAACTTAGGGAGAGAGCATGGGCTAGGTATGTTTGGAGAAGTGCACCACAAATGCAGTTAGCAAGAAAATACATGATGTCCGACACTTAAGTTATTATCCATTTCTTTTATTATCAATTTGATAAATTTTCAGACAATGACACTAATGGATATACATGTAGCATTTAGCAGTGCTCTACAATGAATCAAAGCCAACCTACTATTACTGTGCTTAACCCTTTAATGACCAGGTGTACCATACGGTTGCCTTTCAAACATGCTGTGTAATATTACTGTCATGATAAGGAATATGCGATAGTTGTTTTGAACGTGTTCGGTAAGCGTCCCTGCTTTGTTTCGGTGGTGCAGCTCTACTCTTTGCCACCAACTACGTTGTACAGCGCTGGTCTTGTTGGGAATACGTGGTGCCATTCATTTGTCGAACTTTCCCAATCTTTATTGGACTATGGTGGGAAAATCAGAAAAGTTGCAGCATTGGAATAATTCTACACAGTTTCTAGTACAATAGTGGGTGCGCATGCTAAATTTGAACATAAAATAAAAATTACATGCATATATCACATTGTGTTTCTAAAGGCAATCCTTCAGTACAGTTGGACTTACAACTGCATTGTTTGAAACGTGACCATTGAGTCATGTTCCTTAAACCATGCAAGTAGGGAATTACGATGTATAATAATTGTGTTTTCATTACTATTCTATAATTTAGTGCCCTTCAACAATATTCTTCTCTCTATCAGTGAGAAACACGAATTCAGTTTACCAATTTTCTATCTACATACACTGGCCATTATTGAAGTGCACTTGTAATTTTTTTACCTTTCAGACTCCTTCAAGAGCTTTAGCATAAAAACATTTTCGTCTCCAAGAAAACGTCCCAGTCTATGTGAACAACATCTTGCTACTCCATTCTCCAGTGAATCTAATGAAGACTCTGGATCAAAAGTCTTCTGATNCTGGTTGGCCTCTCAGTCAGGACCCTGGTCTCTCACCCTGTACTGCAGCCTCTCAACCTGGACCCTGGCCTCTCAACCTGGACTCAGGCCTCTCAACCTGGACTCAGGCCTCTCAACCTGGACTCAGGCCTCTCAACCTGGACTCAGGCCTCTCAACCTGGACTCAGGCCTCTCAGCCTTAATGCTGGCCTCTCAACCTTGACACTGGCCTCTCTGCCTAGAGTCCTAGACATTGGCCTCACAACCATGGCCCTGGCGTCTTTGGCCCAACATCAAGGATGTTGGAAAAACACACATTTTCTTTGAAATATCAATCTCAAATAAGGCATTTTTGCTAAAATACTAGAGTTTACTGGAAGTTTATTGGCCAGACTTCTTAAGCCTATTGTTGCTAGCAAAAGTCACACTCAGGATGATGTATGTTTTTGGTAAATTTTCCCGCGCATTTTCACTTTTTTTAAGCTATTGCTGTGCACAGTTGGCGCAATGTAATGAAAATTGATTATCTTTGTGCACGTGTTCGCGCAATCCCGGCCATCTTTATTTTAGAAGAAATTTTCTCCAAAGTCATATGGCAACACTGAACATCGTCCGTTTACATTTCGTATGTATAACAGCCGCAGTTTACGATTACTGTACGTTCCGTATCCAACAAGGCGGACAACCGGAAGAGTCAGAAGTAACCCGGACATATCTTACATTTTATCATTGTCAGTTCGACTCGCGTAGGTAGTCAATATACTCGCGTATATTGTCGACTAAAATAGTAGAACTATTTTAGCTTATGGTGTACGCATTTTAGTACGGCGCACGGCGCATTTTTTTACCGTACGGCGCACCACGCAGGTCGTTAAAATGACAAAATAAATTCCCGTGCACCTCGGCACCTGGCGCATCTTCCTGACCATGGAGCAAAAGTAATGTATAAAATGATAATTAGCTATGCCAGCTACATAATATCATCCATATTTTGCGCTCAGAAGACTGAATGGATCATACCCTCATGTTTAATGTTAGGATCTTGATCTTGTAAGACCAAGTGGACTGAAATGTTGCCTTACAATTTTTCAATATACAATTTTCAATGTTTATACTCATCTATACACTACTTAGTGACTGGAATCACTGGAAATTATAAATTATAAAAAAAAATTTTATGCGCTTAAAAAAATTTGGTCATTAAAGAGTTAACAAAGTTTTCTCATGACAAAAACTCCAATGTGAGTAGCTATGTAACTGATAAATATCAATAGAGTTGACATCCTGCAAAACAAAACAGTAACAAGTGGTTGTGTAGCTAATCAAATAATGTGTTTCTAGAATCTAGATTGATAATATTGAATATCAGGTTTGTACTTTTATTAAAAACCTTGTAACACAAGAATTACCTGTTGGTCCTCAGGTCCTGTCTTACCCCAGCCCCGGTCCCATCTTACCCCAGTGGGGTAAGATGGGATCAGCTCACTTTTTTAATCTGTGCAGAAAACTGTGTTGTATGCAGAAAGTCTGAGTTGTAGCTTAGAAGCCCATTGCATAACTACACCTTGACGGTGACCTTGTGATAGGTTTAGGGTTTTTTATTTATTGATGGTATAGGCTAGATGCTACATGCTTGTTAGTGATTTTGGTCCTGTCTTACCCCATCTGACTATACCTATACAGAATGAGAAGACAAGGTTGCAAGGACAGAGTGAATAGTGATGATGTCGAAGTCGACAATGGAAAAAGATTTAGGAAATTAGGAGTTAATTGAGTTGAAAATTTTCAAGCATATTGAAGGTTAAGTTAATAAAGCCAAATTTAGCCAGTAAACAACTTGGACTGATCAGACGCTCTTTCGAGTTCCTAGATGCAGTCTGCAGAAGTGATGAAGTGTCAGGTTGCCGGTTTCAGTGGCAAGTTGGCAACCTGATTGTTACTTGATAAGTTGACCAATCGAAGATCTTCAAATCAATAGAATAGTCTAACTTCAATAGTAGATAAACCTGAGGGGTTTTGGTTCGTTTGATAAATGTCCGAATAGAGGCAGGATGATTGAGAGACGGTTGTCTTATAATATATTAAGAACTAGATAGGATACAGGAATAACATTAACAGGATGAATCTGGGTGG